ACTCGATCGTTTCTGAAGATGTTGTAACCCCATAGAGAGAACTGACGTTCACTCTTAAGATTAGTTTCATTCACCGAAATGACGTCGTATTTGGAGAAACGGGCTAAGAGTTCATCCTTGTGTTTGACTATGGTGTTAATATTAATGTGGCATATCCGAATCATCGATGTCACTCGATCTCAGCTCTTTGTTGTTGTTCTTCTTCGTCGTTTCGTCTTGTGGACTATTCGACGCACGAGGTCTTTTGTTGCTTTGATTTGTTGCTTCGTTTTTATCCTTGCTTTGCTGTTGTTTCGGCAGAGGAATATTTGAAGCTGTGTTGACCTTTGTCGAGATTGTAATCGATGAATCGGTTGTTGACGGTTCGTTATCTTGTTGATTTTGTTTCGCCTTCATGTGCTTCATTACCTGACTATCGACCGGAACGTCAGAGTCAGATGAATCGTCATCATTGCAAGGCTGTACTCCTAGTGACTTTTCGATCTTCATGATCTTTTTCTGTAGCTTGAGGAATAATNTCGTGAGATTACAACAATATGCTGAAAGACAGCTGACAGCTGAAAGCTCGAGGCGTCACTCGGCAGTCGTTCTCTTCGATATTAAAGCTGCTTTTGACTCAGTATGGCATGATGGACTAATTTACAAACTCAATGATCTACGCCTTCCTCGATACATAGTCAGATACCTAATCTCCTTCTTACACAATCGAACAGCCGCTATTGAAATTGAAAATGTCTTATCACGTACATTCCAGCTCAAGAGTGGTACACCACAAGGATCTCCGTTGTCACCATTGTTATACATCATATACACGGCAGATTCGATGAATGGTATACCGTCTCACACGGAACATGGATTGTTCGCCGACGACACAGCTCTATGGACATCGCAAATATCCACAACAGGTCTCAACGAAAGACTTCAACAATCCATAGATGCTTTCGAAAGTTGGTGCTCTTCATGGAAACTAAAGCTACAACCGACAAAAACAGAGCTGGTTCACTTCAGCCTACACCCAAGAAAGAAATACAAACATCCAGTGCAAGTGAAAGTAGAAAACACCATCATCACTCCAGTGGATCATACAAGATACTTGGGTGTAATAATCGACAAACGGTTAAACTGGCAGAAACATCTCGAACACATAGAAAGTAGGATTGGTCCTCGGATCGGTCTGCTTCGCTATCTATCGAGAATGTCTTACGATCCAAACATGAAGATAATGATAAACATTTTCAAATCAATTGTGCGCACAATTATTATCTATGGTTATCCTGTTCTACTTATTGCTGATCAACGCATATGGAACCGACTGCAGATTATGCAAAACAAAGCATTACGCGCTGCTCTCGGTTTACCCATATATACTTCAACTAAATACATACACTAGGCCAGTAACGTACCGAAAATCGATGTCTATGCAACAGGTTTACTTCAAAAAGCAATACAAACTGCTACCATAAAAAATGACACGACACTCCGCAATCATTTACAAGACATTTTCGACCAAATCAAAAACAACACTGTAACGATAATGATATCGTTCATCTCTTTCTGTTCTTTATTTTCTCACCTCTATATCATACTATCTCCGGGTCATATCTTTCTTTCCTCTTCTCTATATAAGAGCGTGTCTTATTGTGAAAGAGATACATTCTGGTCATGTAGAGTAGTCAATAAACATCGATACCGTGAGAAGCGGTCAGCTACTCAACCAGTTTGTCGTTACAAACACCTCTTGATTATCTATATAATTCCTATATCAATCTTCAAGACTATTATTGTGCTGGCCGAATCTGTACAAAAAAATGTTATATCGGAACCGTGTACTACGAGTTTGCTTCTTATATATTGCAAGAAATGAAGCAAGGCCTTGGCTGATTAAACTTAAAGATTCATCAAATTGGCTGCTCTAATTATCTCCACATATCTAATGTGTACGAAGTCAACACTCCAATGCACGATTCATTCTTTCCTTCTTTCTCTCCTTCTTGTATTCAACCCTTATCGCACTACTTTCTTTTTCATCGTATTATACTACACACCATTCATGTGATGCTCTACATGTATCTACTTCCACTTTAACGTCTTCAATCTCTGTTTTTCTTCTCTCCGCGGACATACGACGTTAGTCATGAGTCCGATTTCGTCTTTTCTTCCAGTGTTCATATAATAACATACAACCGTTGTTTTCACTCGAAATGTACTGTTATTATATTGAATAAAAGCTTTTGTTTCCAAAAAAAAAAAGATTATAATTAGAAAACTAACCTCGGTTTTCAATGCAAGATGGTACAGACATTAGAAATGGTTTCATTTCTTCGATAAGACCATAAAGATGTCCTACGATCTGGCAAGCATCTTCATACATATTTCCATTTGGCTTGTTGGAATTGATTTGCTCTAAATGAAGCATAACGTAGAAATCAATCTTTTGCTGAATGTCATTCAAAATGTAGATTAGATCATAGTTAAATCAGCAGAAGCGAATTGTCGCGTACATTGTTACATTCTCGCGACTTGTATATTCGATTACTCAACTACCTCAGTGTAGACGATGCGAAACGGCATCTACAACTTACACTTACTATTCGTTTTGCATACCGAAACGAGGGGAAAAGCGAGCAATTAGTAAAACATGTTCTTACCATTTGCTATGTTCTGTACAGTTTCGTTTTGTTCAGATGTATTTGGTGTTTGCACGTCTAAAATTCGCACAGAAGATATGCTGATCAATTTCTCATTGTAAAAAGATACTTACGGCCATCAAGACTGGGTTCAGGTGAGCCCTGACTGTATATCTCAATTTCGTTGGACGCAAATGGCACATCGGCGTCTACTGGATGAGTTTCCTCCGGCGGCTGTGTATGCATTTGTTCTTCGTATGATACTGCAGTGAATGCGATACTGGTTTCCTCAGAAATTTGACCATCGTGCGTATGCTCCATCTGTAGTAGATTACTCGAAGGTAGCGGTTCAGCATCGCGTAAACTTCAAATAGACAAAGATATCGAAATAATAAATCGGTTTCCATAAGAAGACGTACTTTGAAGTACCACCGAAACGTACATTAATATCAGACGTGTCCTCCGATGAATTGTCGATAGTGGACGTCATTGAAAAGTTATTGGACTGGAAATAAGAAAGTACTTGATAAGATATAAACTGTAAATTCAAGCTTGAGATTGAGAAAACAAAAATGCTAGATGATGAAATGATGTTATTGCATACAGCCGCTTTCTGATTGGCGGTTGCCTGACGGAAAAAGGAAAGAAAAGAAACTACGTCATCGGAAAAATTACAATGACTAATGTATGACGGATACGATATAAATTCTGATTGATACAATACGTTATAGAATAACTGCATTCTGTTTTTGAGGAAAGGAAGATTTAACGGCGCATCTACAATCAAGAACTTATAAATTTTTGATAAAGTTCCTATTGACCTCGACATCGATGAAATCAAAGAGCATATTAGAATGAGTAGACGATTGACTGCGTTTACGATACGATGCTGTATCTGAAGTGTTTTATATTTATTAACAAAGTAAAATTATTGTCAAAAATTACTAAACAGAAAACATTGTGAAAACATTAAGTTTAAATTCTTAAACAACGAATATATGATGGAGTCGAAGGTCTCAATGTTTATATTCGCGTTTATGTTGAGGATTTTGTCGATAGCACGATTTTCCATATGGACACGAAGGTTTGTCAGCATCGTCGCTTTTCTTATCTTCATCTTCGGTTTCTTTATCATCTTCACAATCAGAATCACCTGGATGAGATTGTTCTGCTCGATGAGCGGGATTTTTTCGATAACATGATTTACCGTACGGACAACGTACACGAGGTTTACCTTGGGATTTATCTAAATAGAAAATAGAACCGTTCGATGATGAAGGAGAACAATCTTGTAAGGTACGTTTTTTTGATGGAACAGAATCGAATGTCTCTCCATTATCACTGTCAACTGGTTTTGCAGTAGACGATGTATCTGACATGGACGGCTGTTGATCTATGATCATATGAAGTGTATGGATCGTAGAAATCAGTAGAACTTACTAGATGTGTCATCAGTCTTCTTAGATTGATCAGCCTCTTCGCTCACTGAATGAAAAATTGTGTTTTCCTTTGTTTAGTTTATCAGACTAAATACTCACATTGTCGTTTAAGGCTAGTTGATGCAGTTTTTTTCGGAGAAGACGAAGAAGTCGATGCTGTCATCCATGTAGGCAGTTTCCGTGCTGGCTGATCTGAACTCGTCGGTTCAGATTGATTCTAAAACGCAACGTGTCGAGGAAAATCGACATACATGTATCGAGAAAACGTACGGAATCTTTGCTTTGTACAGATGAAATATCAGTATGATTATCTGCACCATTCCCAGGATGTTCATCCGTGGTTTTATTCGAATCTTTTGTAATGCTAACGCGAAAGAAGTAACTTGTTGGTAATAAGCCAATTTGATCACCATCTTTCAATTCTTGTTCGACATCTTTGGTTAAATGAACTGTTTTCCCATTTAGTGGTCGATAGAAAACGGGATTTGTATGCGTTGGCTTGATGACAAGTGTTCCCTCTTTTTTCAACAACAATTCAGCGTGGTGACGAGAAATCTTTTTATCTGTACACTATTTTAAAAACAAGCAAAACAGTTCAAAATTTCCACAGCATGAACGTATACATACACCTAATGATGATCCTCGTCCAACAATAATCTTTTCATCTTCTTTTATCGTTATATGATTACCCTCAGTAATTGGAATCAATTCCACCTTACAACTCATCTTTATTCGTAATTGCAACAAGAACTTGAAAGATCTTCAACTTGACATCATAGAATGACATAGGTTTGCAACATCCAGCAATAGAAAGTTGTCATAGAGGGAGTATGCTACCAGCAACATCAATTCAACTTTCAATAACCATGACAATGCATTGCCTTTAGATAAATTTTATTTTTCATTCTCATAGGAAAAGATAGACGCGATTAAATAGCAATAAATGTCTTTTTTCGATACATAACACCGGCTACAATGATCCAGAAGATGACTCCGTATAGATGCATAATCATCAATTGCCAATGTCGTGTTTCTTCGACTCGAAATTGTACGGGAAAGAGCTTTCCGCACACTTCGTGACCAACATAGATAACGATCGAATTCATTCCCAACCATAAAAAGGGCTCACCCGTAAACCCACTGTAAACATCGACAAGTAAATAAAGTAAAGTTAAAATGAAGAACGCCAAACTAGCCAGAACCAGTATAAAACTAAGTGACCAAAGATTCTTATTGATCGGTATCCAACTGTCAGATTGACCACCTTTCGATAAAGCTAAACCAATTCCTCCGCAAACGAGACCAGAAATAATCCAATGTGCACAAACACGAACTATACGTGTGGCATGTGCAAAACTATGTCCAGCTTGGACACCGAGATAGCACAGAAGTGTTCCAGTTAAAATACCCAAAATACCTATAATTAATCCATTTTGATTTTGCTTCAATTCATTCTGCTACACCTCTCTTTACCTTCGGGATCGAATGGCATTTCAGTCTCGTAGACACCTTTACACGTGGGATGATTAAATACATGTGAAGCTCCGAGGATTAGTCGATCGATGTATCCAGCAATGCCTAATAAGAATGATCGTTTCGACAAACATACATGAATCGCTGTTCTGAGTTATTTACCTCCTGTACAATTTCTTTTCTCTCCATGGTGGTGCTTTCCTCCTGGACCTAAATAACCACTAGGACAATTTTCAAATTTCACGAAAAAAGTGATTAAAATCCATGCAACTGTTAACAATAGGACGAAGAGCCACTGTGGCCAAAAATGAAACAATGTATTGGACAATTCAACTCGGAATCGTTGATGAACGTCATTTCCTTGATAGAAATTCGTTTTAATGCAGAAAAGTTTATCATTTCAATAGTCAAATCTACCTATGGGCCATTCAGATGAATACGGCTCATCTTCTGTATCATCAAAGATTAGTACTATGATAGCTGTAATAAAATAACATACGGCTAATCGTTGAAGAACTCCGAAAATACGAATATTAACCCATCGATCATTACCACCTTGTAGCATTATGCCTAGAACGAAACAAAATGATAAAACGCACAGAATCGATTAGTCTCTTACCTAAAACGAATAGTACTAACGTTCGGCGACAGATTTTGTAGAGAATCGATGCTTTTCGCACATTCTTTGCTCGTAGAGATCGTTGTGAAAGGACAATTGATACACCCATCATCCAAGTAAACCATGGAAATACCATATCAGCTAAGGTTAGACCGTTCCAAACTGTAAACAAGAATAAGTACTAACTGATGTCTAGCAAAACGACTCACTTGAATGTTTGAAAAACGGATAGCCAGCACCTAAAGAAAAGAATCAATGAAGAAAAAGAAATATTCTGAGAATCTAACCTCCATAGTTGACAAAGATCATGACCATAAGTGAAAATCCGCGAAATGTGTCCAATGAACGTAATCTTTTAGGTAAAACTTTCGTTATTCGAACAGAATTATTCGACAATCGAGTCGATCCTACTAATGGTAGTTCACTGCCTGCTGACAGCGTATTAATAATATCATCATTCGGGTCATTGACAGTTGTTGTTGGACTTTTTGGAAGTGAAATAGTATAATCTCCATCTGTCGTTGTTCGAAATCGATTCGGTAATAACCGGGAGCAACATGAATGTTGTGTGATACGCTTCCATACTTGAATGGCTATAACCAGTGCGAGCATACTTCCCATACCGATAATGACGGGTAGCCAGTAGTAACTTCCACCTTTTGTTTGAGTTATCGTACACGACAGTGGACTGTCATGGAATATTTCGAGTGTGTAGAATGCATGTTCAGCGAACTTGTGCGCTTTTATTTGGCATAGTAAGATTTCGTTTGTGATTTCAGAAATTACTTCGATATCTTGAGCATATGTTGTACTGACAATGATCGTTGTATTAGCACCCGGCTGTGTACTAGACTCAGGTATAACTGTAGAATTACATTCTTCACAGACGATCAATCTAATCTGAAGTTGGATTGGAAAAGATGCATTTCTATTGATAATCGTTAGGTACGCTTCGTCCATACTCAATGGATCTAACCAATCATCAGTGATTTGCGTTTCGGCATATGGTAAGAAGTGTTGTATGATACACAAAATAATCCACAGATGACGAAATGATTTGTACATTATGTTCCCAGATAGTTGTCAAAGAAAATTTATTTCACAGCAGTCACCTTGTATCTCGTTTATGTAAAACAGCAAAACTGAGTGCACGTCTATCTCAAAGTTAACAAGCCTTTTCTATTGCATGAGATTCTTATCAGTGGCTCGATAGAATCGACAAGCGTAAGCATGATTCATGTGTTTCGACTGAGCTTGTAGTTTCATGTTGAATAGTAACCAAATTTTATTCTTTTTCTTTCGTACAAAAAACGCGATGGACAATTATTTTTTGTTTGCAGTACAAAAAGAAAAGTGCGAGAGGAAACAATCTAAAATCTCTGTTTCACAATGATATTCTTAAACGGCGATTGGGAAAACGTAAACAAACAAAAATCTATTTCACGAGAAATTACTAGGCGTAGATGATTGTCCAGGAGACGAACTGAAAAATTGAGGAATTGAAAGATCAACTTTGCCTTTATCAAGATCAGGTGGGGCTTCTAAAAAACACAAAACCAGACATACAGACACTTGGCTAAGACAGCGAATTCGTCTCTTTACCTTCCATTCCAGGTTGTGGCATAAACATTTGACTGTATCGATTAATCAAAATACTAGTTCCTTCGATCATTGCAAGAATAAATCCACCGATCACCGCTGAACCTAACATTGGCCCTGGTCCCTCTACAATCATGATAGACATTTGACAATGAAAATAAGTTTAATAAACACTTGACTTACGTCGAGCTTGTAAGACAGCACCAGTTACCGCACCGCTAATAATTGAATTCCAGGGATCTTCTTTCTTTCTCATATAAACAAAACTACAGTCAACCAACGAGAAAATGCATCCCCATGCACTGAACGATGCTACAAAAGAAAAATAAAACAATCAAAATAACCACTGTTTTGATGTTATGAGATCTGTACCTCCCACACGGGGCGCCCGTTGTTTTACTGCATTCAAACTGCCTAGTAAACGTCGATATTGACCCTAAAATAAGTCGAATATCGGTGAAGTTTTTCTTCAAAAAAGAAAACTTACACTCGGAGCATGACGAAATCCTTTTATTGAATGAAAAAGTGTACCACCGATTGTACCTAATGCAAACGCACCACCGCAATCATCCACAATACGCCAAGGACTAAATGAAATAAGATTATTTTTATTATAAATCTCATCATCCTTTTTTCATCTTACCAAGGTTCTCGATCCATTTAATTTTGTTCTAGTTATAACTGTTCATCTACAACAACGATCTACTTCGATTATCTGATTTTTCGACTGAACGATTCCAAATCGAAATTCTCGATAGATCTCTTAAATCAGAATGGATTTATTCCACTATATAACCTATCCGAACAATCGATTCCAATATCGATAAATCATCAGAATTAAAATGAAAAAGTTTCTTACACTCAACAAAACTCGAAAAGATCAATATACTACTTAATGTTAACGATTTAAGAGAATCAAAACAAGAAAAATTCTCAAAAAGTGAGTTCCAGAAAAGATGATGCAGACATGTTCGTAAAAACGATCGGACGAACGAATCAGAATATAAACAACAATGCATTTCTTTTTATTTTTCTACTTTATGTAGTATCGATTCCGACAGATGTCACTCTAATACGAGATTTTCATCTCCCTTTCACAAAAACAAAAAAGAACTAGTTATTTACAAAGCAGTCTCGGCAGTAGATATGTTGAAAACAGTGTCATCTTGAGTTGAATTCATCATTTCTTGACTTGCGCTTCTGTAATATGCAGTATACATCTGACTATTGTTCGTAGTCAGTCCACGATTTTTCCCGTATTTTCAAGAAATAGCTGCTCTTCGCGTTTAACTGACTCAATAAGATTCTCTAACTGTTCAATGCATCTTATTATTAGAGACAATTGCAGATCATCAACTAGGCTTCGAACTTCGACGATTCTTTCATGTGCGAGACACTGTATGCATTGAAACTGTCCGGATCAAATAAGTCATGATGAGCAAGCATTTTACTGATCTTATCGATCATTTCTATAGCTGCGTCTTTCACTTGTCTACAATTGTTGGTTAAAGCTTGTAATAATTTTCGATATCTTTCAGCTCCTGGTATATTTACTTTGTTTCGTGACATGAGAGAAAATTAAACTAATAAATCAATGATAAAGAATCGGGTAATGAGAAACAAAAAAGAAAAGAGCGCTGATCGACTCTAATCCATAAAGTTTTATGTCAGTGTTGATAATCTTTTCTTTTTTCAACATTGATAGCATAGAAAAGGTAAGAATGAAAACACGCACCTTACAACATTATTCATTTTTCAACAAGTTGAAGGGCACGCGGGAAGATAACGATGACGATAATAAGCCTATTTTGCTTTCATCTAATTGTATTCATCGGCGGACTTCAGTTGGTGAGAAGTCAAGAAACAAGCAACTTTTCTTGTTCAGTACGACCATCGCAAGCGGATACAACAGCGAAATTACAAAATTTACGCACACATTTAATTAGTAATAATTTATTTGCTTATGTCATCTTTTCCGAAGATGAACATGACAGTGAATACGTACAGTTGCATGACGAACGACGAGCTTGGATCACCGGTTTTCTCGGTTCAGCAGGTACAGCTGTAGTTACACGGAACAATGCTGCATTGTGGACTGATGGTCGATATTGGACACAAGCAGAAGATGAACTCGATTGTAAGAATTGGTATTTGATGCGTCAAGGACAATCCGATGTTCCTTCATTGAGTAATTGGTTAGCAAGTCAAGTGAATGGCACATCTCCATATAATCGAGTTGGTGTTGCTGCTCAATTTGCATCGTCCAGTTGGTGGTCAGGAGTAAATGCTGCTCTCAATGTCAAGAATGCTTCATTGGTTGAAGTTGCTGAGCTGATTGATTTAATCTGGTCAACATCTGAAAGACCACCGGCTGCAGCCAATCCAGTGGCTCATCACGCGCTCGAATATGCAGGTAGTACTTGGCAGACAAAAGTTTCGACTATTGCTCAACTAGTGCGAGCGAAGAAAGCGAATGCGTACGTTGTAACAGCACTGGATGAAGTTGCATGGTTATTTTGCTTACGTGGGTCCGATATTCCATATAATCCCTTTTTTAAAGTACGAATTTTCTCTCTTGCCATCAGTTCAATTGGAAACTTTTTCATTTAGGCCTATGCAATGGTATATGCAAATGAAACGACACACCTTTGGATGAATACAAGCCAGTTGGATGCATCAGCACAAGCAGATTTACAGAAAGTGAATCTCCATCCTTACGGTTCGTTCTTATCCGATTTGTTAAATACAGCTAGCCAAAGTGATGTATCACAAATTTGGATTTCATCATCCGCTTCCCAAGCTATCTACAGTAGGATACCTGCTGAAAAACGTATCATTGCTAGTAAGTTTTGGTACTGACATGAATGATGAAAAGAGTAACCAACAAATTTCGTACGTAGGTTCACCTGTGGAAGTCACGAAAGCAATAAAGAATCCTGTAGAACAAGAAGGCGTGAGAAACTGTGGAGTTAGAGATAGCGTGGCCCGTGTACGCCATTTAGTTTGGCTTGAAGGTCAATTGAATCAAAATGTTGCTATCAATGAAACACGCGCAGCGGAAGAACTCGAACGATTTCAAAGTGAAGAGAGTCTATTTCAAATGCTTAGTTTCGACACAATCTCAGCATTTGGATCGAATGGTGCAATAATTCATTACAGTCCAAAAGCGAAAACTGCTAAACAAATCGACAGAAACGGGCTCTATTTACTCGACGCCGGTGCTCAATATCTCGATTGTACAACTGATGTAACCCGCACACACGTGTTCGGAACGCCAACACAGGAACAAAAGAAAGCCTACACACTTGTTTTTCAAGGTTATAACAACCCACTTCTCGATAGATCTTTTTTCTCGATGTTTCTTATTTTACTTGATAGGTTCAACTGACTTAGCCGATGCTGTCTTTCCGTACGGAACATATGGCCGAAGTATTGATATTCTAGCTCGTCAGTCCCTTTACAAAAATTCCATGGATTATAATCACGGTACTGGCCATGGTATCGGTCATTATCTATCAGTCCATGAGGGACCTTCATTTATTGCCATGAGTTATAGTTCAAGTGATATTCCACTCACGGATGGCTTAGTATTTTCTGATGAACCTGGATTTTACCTTCCAGGAGAGTTCGGTATTCGTCTAGAAACGGACATCATGGTGAAAAACTATACATTACCGAACAATTATGGTGGTTCCACAGTGCAATTTCTTCACTTTGAAATGTTAACATGGGTTCCTTTCGAACGAAATTTAATTATTTGTGAAATGTTGACGAAAGCACAAAAGGATTGGGTGAATTGGTATCATACGCAAGTACGAAGCAAACTGGAAGGTACAAATCGATTAAATAGCAATGAACTAGCTTATCTTCGAGATAAAACACAAGAAATAAAATGTTAAAATGATTTTCTTTTTGGTATTTATTACAGAATAAATGTAGTTCCCACACTCGTAACAACAGAATTGATGAAACAAATATTCAATCAGCCGATGACATTTAATTGTAGAAACGCTTCTTTGACGCGTACTGATATTGTTCGAAGATCTGCGCTGGTGTATCAATATTCACGATGAAACCTTTGTCTAACACGACAATTCGATCGCTTCTAGCAACTGTATTCAGTCGATGTGCAATAGTCAAAATAGTTTGATCTTGGAATGTTTTTGCGATGACTTGTTGAATAATCTCATCTGTTTTGTAATCAATATTCGCTGTTGCTTCATCGATCAGTATAATTTTACTTTTCTTCAAGATCACCCGAGCAATACAAATCAATTGACACTGGCCGGCACTGAGATTACTTCCTCCTTCGTTAATCATCATCTCGAGACCATTGGATTGCTCATGTACAAATTGTTTTAATTGAACATCTTCCAACACCGCCCAACATTGTTCATCAGAGTAAAGATGACATGGATCGAGATTGTATCGAAGTGTCCCGCTGAACAGGATCGGCTGTTGTGGAATAACACTGAGATGAGAGCGAAGTTGAGCAAGTGTAATTCGACTTATGTCAATATCATCGATGAGGATAGTACCGTCAATGTTGGATCGATGAACGAAACGGAAAAGACCTTTGAAGAGCGAAGATTTGCCAGCGCCAGTTCGACCAATGATGCCAAGTTTTTCTCTTGACCTTATGTGAAGATTAAGTCCGCGCAGAACAGAATCAAGACCTGTTCGATGGCGAAATGAATAATTGTGGAATTGAATTGTACCAAGATTAGGCCATTGAGGCGGAGTGTTTACCAATCGTTGGCCATTACCACCAAAATCCTCTTCGGGTGGCAGAAATGAGTATTCATGAATACGTTCAGCGCTTGTCATTAACATATCAGTTTGAAACAACAGTAAAATACTCAATTGGATAGATTTTGGTATAGAAATCGTGTACATTAAAGCAAGGGCAATCAATGACGAATCTAACTGATCTCGCAGAAGTACAAGCACTATACCTGTTACGAATGTATTGATAAATGGTAACAGACTAAGTCTAACATCAAGTCACCGTGCGGCTCCTAGCAGATTAAGAAATGCCCGTGTGTTTCTATCGATTGCATTAGTGAACAATTGAATAAAATAATCTTCAATTTTAAAAGCACGAAGTGTGACTAGACCATTGAGTGACGATGAAAGTAGGTCGTATACTGGACTACGAGTGATGCTTTCCAATTTTTTCAACTGTTTCTTCGATCTAAGGTAGAAACGACACACGAATACAATTATTGGTATTAACGCAATCACCACCAACACCAGATACGGCTTGACAAGACAGATAATCACAATCGAACCCATCGACATCAAAGACAGTTTTATGTAGGAGATCATCATGGCAGGTAATGGCTCTTCAATCACTTTCTGATCGTTACTGACACGATTCAATATTCGTCCGCTTGGATTACTCTCGAAGAACTCGACTGATGTGTACAGCAATGCTTTTAACATTCGATCATGAAAATGATTGACACCATGCAAGAAAATAGAGAAGAAGACTATTGTACGAAGAATATCAGAGAGAACGATGCCAAGCGTTAGTTCTAGGTAAGTGTAGGCAAACGTTGGAAGTTTCTGTTGATCTGCGTGCGACTCTTTCAACCAGATACTAAGCCAATAGTTGGTACCATCGTAGAGAATTTCACCCACCACCATTAGGATAACGAGCGCACACAATCCACAAATACCGAACGGTGGAGCAGTGAATAAGCAAAACCATGCATTCCAATTGACGTTTCCAGTCACTGACCTTTCTTCGGAAATGATTGATCGAGTATCCGCAGCCGATGTACTTTCATCTAGTAAACAATCCATCTCTGAAACTTCTTTTGTATCAGTCATGCCTTGCGTATGTGTATAGTCATCTAGGCGACCTTCATTATCTATGCGGCCCTGTGAAAGAAAGAGAATTTGATCTGCATCAGCTAAAAATTGTGTTTGATGAGTAACTAAAAGCCGAGTTTTATTTTTCAACAAGCCTTGTGAACTAAAACATCGGTCGTAGATTTGTTTCGCAACAATTCCATCCACGGCTGCTAGCGGATCGTCAATCAAGTAGACATCAACGTCACTGTAGACAGATCGTGCCAACGAAACTCGAGCTTTTTGTCCTCCACTCAGATTCACACCTCTCTCTCCAATCATTGTTAGATCGCCACTCGTTCCAAATGACTGAATATCCACATCAAGACAACAGGCATAGATCACATTTCGATAGCGTCGTTCATCGAATGGTCGATTGAGAAGGATATTGTTTCGAATAGTATCTGAAAAGATCCATGGCGATTGTGATGTATAGGCAAATGAATTATGATTCGAAATGAGTTGCCCATGCAATAGATTGAGTTCACCCAAAATAGCGACGAGTAGCGAGGATTTTCCGGAACCAACTGGTCCAACGATACCCACAAATGTTTGCGGTTGAATGAGGATATCGAGCGATGAGAGACAGCATTGGTCTGTATTCCATGAAAAAGAAGCATCTGACATCGAAATTTGCCCACGAACCGATTCAATCGACGAGAATGCTGTAGACGCAGAACGACATTGGGATACTGCTGAGCGCATGAATGCATCAATTCTTTTCGATGCGACTATGATGTCCGTTAGTCGGTCAGTAATTGCTGGTACGAAAAACATGATTTGATTTCGTATCAAACCGAAAAAGGCAAGAGTTGAAAAACAATCTGCTGCCTCGAGCGGATAGTCTAATAACCATGCGGTGATAAATGTAACGAATGCCAATGCAGGTACTATGATGAAGGAATGTATTGTACTGATGGTACGTATCGAAAAATACCGATTTAAATTGTTAACTTCGTCCTGACGTATTTTCCTAATCCGATCTTCCATCGACTTTTCCCAGTTGTGCATTTTGATTATGTGATATCCGTGAATGAATTCATTAAAAGCATGAACACGTTTATCACTATAAACTGTTTTCCGGTGTCGATAATCACTGAGGCAGTGACTGATAAGTGACAGTATGATGATACTCAGGACAAGTAATATAAAACTCAAAATAGCTGGCAATGGTTTGATAATCCAACAGAGTAAACTAAATATGATCAAAGTTTCAATAGGCGCCACCCATAAATATTGCAATCGTGTACATATCTCTCCGAATCGAGATGCGTCGTCGGAAATAAGATTAGTTATGTGACCAATGTTCGTCGTTTGTGAAACGGTTATTTTCATCGATAGTGAATTTCGATAGATAAGAGTCATGAGCGCATTACGAATTCGTACCCCGATACGTATTGAATAAAAATATATCTGATGATCGAGCAGAACTTGAACAATTCCACATGAGCAAAGTAATAGCACAAGGAAGCAAATAGTGATGAGAGAAGTGTTTTCATTCATGGTACTGAGAACAATTTCACGTAACAATAGTGGTTGTGACACACGTACGAATATGTAAGGTAAACAAAAGACGACAAAGACAAGATAATCTCTCCAAAACTCGCGAATGATCAATCTCCATGTAGATGTTGTTGCCCAATCGTAGGAATCGAATCGATTGAAGGCAATCGATGCTTTATCTTTGTGTGGCAAACCATCAAGATCATCTTCTGTCAGTGATCGTTTGTAACCTACATAAAGAGTAGGATCCATCCATGAGCAAAATAACAATTGCAAACAACGAGTCCATGAAGATTCTGCTGATTGAAGACGAGAGGATGATGCATGATGATATTGATCACTATCGTTGTAAGCGCTTATCTTTTTACTAATCAGTTTATTACATTCATCGCTTTGCGATAATTTCATCTGTGTCCAAATAGTACAGTAAGTCCGCAGAATGATGAAAATGTGTTTATATGTGATTGATAAAATACAAACGAAGGGTAAAAGCAAAACATTGAATAACCATCAGAATATACCTCAATAAAAAATCAATCATTTGTGACGTCTGTTTCACATCTTCGTGCTTTGCCGTCGGAGATAATTTTTATACAGACCGTGACTCAACGTATCGTCTATAAGCAACTGTTTTCTGTTCAATTATTCTGTTTTGCTCGGCTTAGATTACCTCGAATCCGATAGATGCAAATAACTTTTGACACTAAAAGACAGTGTAAACTGACTTTTATCGGAAATAATGCAAATTTATTTTAAAAAATTCTGAGATATACGAAAACACGAATACAATGCGAATCGTCACAAAAGACTTTCTCACTATTCACATACAATAAGTGCACAAAAAATTATTTCTATATATTATCACATTCATATATAAAATAATGATTGTCATTTTCATGAAAAAATGACGAAGCAGATACTGTTCATCTGACGTGATATGCTACAATTGTTGCATGATCTAACTTTCCCGGAATTTTACCGATTTTGTTTCGCATTTCCAATTCGAATTTGAGACGCGCAGAATTTTGAATTCCTTCATTCTCTCGAATACCTTGTTCTATTATCTGTCGCTGCTCGTTCGTTAATTGAATGACATATTGCAAAAGTCGATTGCACAAATCTCGAGCATTCATGTCTTCTCCCTTATTAGCAATCGATAAATACATATGATTTAAGCTAAATAAATGCCGTTCATATGCCGTCATCAGTACCGGTGGTGATGTCGATATTGACTGACTCGATTTTCGAGCAAGCAATGGTGTTTTCACGCTTGCTCCATTACCACTTACGCAAGGATCGAAATTATCACTAATTCCATCAGTTGTCAAAAATACAAAGTCGCCCGGTTCAACTTCCATCAATGAATATGTTAAGTTGGCCAGATCAGCTTTTTCATCCATGGTTGTACCCAACGCACCACCCGGTGAACGCATGTCGCGTTCATTATTAAGATCTCGGGATCCTAGACAAGTTATGTGACGAAAAATCGACTAGAAATGATACAACTGACCTTGTGTTAATTCAAAGACAGCTTTTCGGCGTTGACTGTATACATAGGCATTAGAATCACCGACAATGGCTGAACATACTAACCAACGACGGTTCGATGGGCAAACAATACTGATTGTCAATGTTGTCAATGAGCCTTCACTCTTATAAATTAACTGTTGAGCGGCTTCAATTGCTGCGTGAATTTGCTGAAAAACATCCTATAGAACAAGACACACGTTTTCCACGAATCCGGACAGAATTTCTTCTTACCTTCGTAGTAGATAATCTCTTCTCGAATAGCTGTCGATTGAGGCAATCCATGGCGCCATGTATTGCACATCGAGCAGCAAGCCGAGCTTTGTATCCCCAATTAACCCCATCAGCAATCATGATAATCGCATTATTCTTCTGAGCACATATCCCAAAACAGTCAGCAATCGGTTCGCCTAGAAAAACAATAATATATTACATGAGAACATCAAACAAACACAATTGTCTAACCATTGATTTCACCAGTAAACGGATCACGATCGTAGAGCGACGTGGACGATCCACAAGCAATGTCTTCGTTAGGTTTCTGCCAATCGTATTGTCCAGCGACTTTGATCGAATTATTGACTTTTAAAATTCCTTTTTCTGAATGAAATTTACATTCAGAAACCTATCGTGTAAGAAATAAACACGAGAATTACTTTGATGCCGAGCAATGTCTACTAAGCCAACATCGGGACCTGATTCACAAGCAATGGTATTCTGACTTAATGCTGAAATGACTTCGACAGGTAATTGCAGATAATCTTCACTTGTATAAAGCTGATAACGCTGAAGACGATTCGATGGTAAGAAACTTGAACAAATAAAACAATAGAATTTTCTCTATAGAAAAGAAGTCAACTTACAGAGAAGCGAATTTTTGCCATAAAAATCCTCGTTCATTACTCATCTAGAAAGCAGAAGAAAAAAAAGCTTTCACAACTGATTAGCAATAACAAAACAAAAGCTCGAATTTATTTCGTTTCTGTTGTTAAAATAGCTGGTAAAGTACACGATATCGTGATTGTTGATACCCAGCGCGTATCATTCATGGGTTCGAGATCATCTAACAAAGGCATCAGGTGATCAGTAACTTCGATACTTGATATTGACGTGTGCAGTTGACAATTGGTTTTCAATTGAAATTGTAACGCTAAATTGATCGTTCGTTGCAAAGCAGAACCCATACCATAGATTGTGATTTCTCGATAGTTTCCGTTGGATGAAATCAATTTCATACAACGCTCTAATTGTGCTTTGAAATTGGTTTTTCGTGTAACGTAAATATCGTTTGGACGTTTGGAAAACTGTTTGTTGTTTAATCGTTTGAATATCGCATATTCTTCAGGATCACGATGGAATTTTTCTTCATTCATCTAGAATAGATTAAGAAAAACGTAGAGATTTATTTTAAATTAGGTAACGATGAGCCAAAATAGATTCTTAAATCATTCAACGTCGTACGAACAAGTTTAGCACGAATAGTTTTCGAATTTAAGCGTTTATGCGCTCTAAAAGATACCGTCTAGAAATCCTCAGAAGAACAAGTGCATTGAAATCTTACTCCCATCGATGACAACCGCCCATGGCAAAAAAGTAATTATTCTTGGACTCAGGTGCTTCATACCAAAGCACATCAATCGGCGGAACTTGATCAGTTTCGGTTGTCTACAAAGTCGAACTAATTCCTTTCGTAGTCGAACGTGTGTCAATCACTACTTGAATAGTTTCCATCAATGATTGAACTTTCTTCTCGTCAAGTGTTGATGGTAATGGACGTGTTATATCTTTCATGGGAATGTTGTAAGTTGTGTCGATTGATGCGGAATGTATGGATGATGATGAAGAACAAGCATTATTACTTAATGACGAACTTATTTTCATTGTCGAGAGAATGGATGGAAGCAGCGTAGTAGAAAATAAATTCATATAAAGAAATCTCGTCAACATAATAAAATTTTCTTGCTATGATTGAATTACATTACTATTGACCGACCGATAAGAAAGATAGATGAGTCATCTTTGATCTGCCGATTGTAAACACTCAGCGACATCTGAATCATGACGAGAAGATCGTGAACATGCGTCTTACATACGCAAAATTGAATTAGTCACAATGTATAATTGAGGAAACGCGCATTACTTCGTTAGCAAATTGTCACTTATGAGTATTTCTTCTGGGCCGAATACAACCGGTAATAAATGCCAAGTTCATTCTAGTAACAGAGGGGGAGAGAAAGAAATTGCATATTCTTCTTTTCCTATACAGACATTTCCGTCTGACATTCGCGGCCTTTTTACAATTAGTATAGAGAGAGAGAGACCTTAACATCGTTTTATCATCGAACAAATGTACACATCAATAGTTCGTAATTCTTTGTTGATAGACTCGCTGTAATGTGCTGTTTATTCATATGTTATTAATCCGGATTTTCTTTCAACATTTCATTGACTATTAAATAGTAATCAATCAATTAACTTGATCTTTTGATAAAATTTGTTTATTCCAAAGAAGAGAAGTTACAAATGAAAGAAAAGAATGTCATTCTTTATCTAGTTTTTTGTTGTTCACAGAGAATTAACGAATGTATGGCTAAACATATTTGCATAATCTAACGAAACTCCAATTGACCTTCAGCACCATCAATTTCAGGAATGGTTACACCATTTCTCAATAAAAATTTGCGTTTCACATACGCATAGAGCAAGTCCGAGATGAGGAATGTCTAAAAATCACAAACGACTACCTTTCAATAACTGGAAAAAATGCTTTCGAACCTGAGCTACGTTGAACACCATTGTCATGGCGAAGTAAAAGTTTGCATTAGCACTTCCTGTATATATCCACAAGTACCATGTGATTGGCGCCATCAAAATAGCGATTAGTATCATACAAATAATAATCAAAGTATGCCGAATATCTATACATATGCCAAACGAATTATTCAATGACATCAACAAATGATTTATTACTCACATCGAAAAAGAAAACTCCAGATGGGTAAATAATTGAAGTAGAACGTTGCGTCGCCGTATGCTGGGTATGATTTGAAAGTGCAAAAAATTGCGCATAGAAGCCAAAAGAGAAATGTTGGATCTTTTCTAAATTAAAACAAATGCAGCATGTGTAAAAGGATTGGTTGGATCAAAATGAGAATACCTCAAGCGAATGGCGAATGGAAATAGATAGAGTAGAAGGACGTGCATTTGAAATGTCCAAACGAATAGCGAACGAAAATGATCGAACATCTCCGTGAAAAAGTACCAAAAGATGCCAACGTTCGGTGTGTAGTCCGGTACATGAAATCTATTTGAGTCAATCATGTGAGAATCATATTGAAAACAGAGAATGTCTTACATAAAGCTGTAGGTTGATTCGAGAAACGACCAGGATTGATGATTGAGAAAGAAATTCAGGTAAAGTATGCCGGCGGCAGCAAGAACAAAGAGAATAACGACAAGTAATGCACGCACGATTGAAAAAGATGTCTAAATGAAAGGAAATGATGCTATTTCTTGCTCTTGTAGTAGTTAAAGATAGTACAGTTCTTGTCTTTGAAAATTGCAATAACGCTGGTACGATTAAAACAACTGGATAGAGTGAAATCGAGCTAGTTACTGCCAATAGAACGACAAATGGTATCAGTTGATCTAAAGATGAAATTTTCGAAATTGTATCAGTTAAAAAAGTTGAATGATCTTACACGTTATAAAGAAATAAAATGTCATTGTCAAGAGTAGATTATGAAAAACTAGACTTGATTTCGCTATGCATGTTCCAATACTCAGTGGATTAATCATTGTACTAGTTAACATGAAATAAATGGAGAAAGAAATGAAGAACAGGTCTTTTTACCATAGGAGAACAGCGAGAGCACTCTTTTGAACGTTATCTTTGGTTAACCATAACGATTTGCTATCTGGCTTGTAAGCTTCTTTTTCCCTGAGATCTTCTTCAGACTATGAACAAAGTATCAAGTTGATTGATTGGCAAAAGAAGAAAATCTTTACGCACCAATTGCGTCAATATTCGGCGAGCGATTTTGTACGTCAATAAACCAGTTAGAATATCCGCAATCTGTGGAAAACGAATAAAGCATGTATTCCTAAGATCAAATTAAGACAGATTCTCACGATAAATAAACTTTCGATATGCCCTTGTGTAATCGCGTGTAGTTTGGAATAGAAGAAAAGAGACAATGGCGTCTAAATGGACGAACGGATAAAGATGATATTGAATATGCATTTCAACATACTTCATGTACAATAGACCCAACAAATGGCGAAACATTTAGTTTATGTAGATAAATTCCTTCGATAACTAAAAAAAGCAACAGAATAGACATGAATCGGTCGCACGAAGGTTTACCTCGTTTCCATGAGTTTAATGGGGTGACAAATTCGCCATTATCCTCGAAATAACTTCTGATTCTTGTTTGAAAGAACAGAAATACTCGTACCAGAAGACCTATGCCGACATAGGCGAGTTCAACTTTATCGAACATCTTGAAAAAGCAAAGAAAAATTTTGTTTTATTCATGATAAAAACAAAAATACTAAATACAGTAAGAAGACTCAAATACATCATTATTATTATTTGAGATATATTCATGTACACGCACACAGATAAGGAAACTGTTCAGATAAGTATGACTAGAGAGTCTTAGATGCACATGGTTTATGTGTGGAATGCATCGTAACCGATGGGACCAGTTGATTATAAAGATTCATAAAAAGGCGTGACTTTCTGAAGATTCATCATGAGATATCTGTGGCTTGAGAGCTTCAATGGTGGTATTTAACTCTTCAGTGATTGGATTGGAGTTTATCGAAGTTGTCCGAGCAGTTGTAACTTCATTATCATCCATAAATGATTTATTAATCTTTGGCGATAAATCGTGTCGTTTGCCTTTACGTCGATTTTTGATTCCCATGTCGTTGTCCATCATCTCCTCTAACGTTCCGTGATCAACGACGGTTGATATCGGTGCAATTGATATATCACGCACAGCTCGAAATTCTCCGCAGTTATTCAAATGTTCGTTTTCCAATCGAAAGTAGTTCCAAACAAATCGTCGAAAGATTTCGATTAGACCAAATATAAAGCCAATGACATCAGCATATTCAGCGGAACGTGTCCGAAACTGCATGAAAACGTTGATCACCCATATGTAACGAAAGAGGACGTTTTCGACAATGGCTGCATAGTAATAGAATCTGGATGGATAAACAATTTGATCGCGTAGGAACTTATTTTCGCCGGCGTTTTTATCGAAGAATCCCCAATCCATTTTCAAATCCCAAATAACTTTGTAAGTTGCACCAATGAACGAAGCAATGATCCAAATATACAAAAAAGGATTCGATGTGGGACTATCGAAATAATTTATCGCTGTGGCACGTCGCGCTGCATTGGTTCCCATGACGAAGAAGCCGCTAGCGTACTTGCCGGCGTTGACAAGATGCGGAAATTTCTGTTTCGTATCTCGATAACGTCTCAAGCATTGTGCAAATCGAAACCATGATGGCAAGATCATCAGAATGGTTTGCAGAAGGACTTGAGGCCAACCCTGACAAAGTACGCCACGTGTTGGAGAGGACGAGTACACTGGCCACCATCCGACATCGTAGATATAGAAACAAAAGAAATACTCAATATCGAAAAAGATCAATTCGAGTGATGTCAACTGATCGCCAAGCCAAAAGTCAGCGAAACCGACACGATAGAATGGGGCACAGATAATGCGACCTAGAATTTTCAGAAACCAGAATCGTGCATGATGGTAAAGCGTATGCGTTGGATTGAACAGAAATAAAAGAATTAGTGTAACAAAACCAAGCGGTTGTATAAATGGATAAAAGTCAAAATAAGATGATAAAATGAATCCTGTAAAACTTAAAAACCATATAACAAAAAGAAATGTACCAATCTCAAGAAATTGTTGGTAAGTAAGATGATTCCGAGGATCGATTTCAAATATAAGAACATGATTGACACCTGATGATGACCAACCGTAAACGTTGATGCCGACTAGAACTATATGAAGAACAACAAGAAATGTTGACCGATAAAGAAACAATGCTTGTCGCCAAGCAAGTGGTTTCGTTGATTGACTATCATGAAGATTGGCTGCAAGAGCGATAACAGCAGGAAGTAGGAGACAAATCATTCCTTCAAGAATGAAATTATGCACGAGAAAGTTGAGTTCGTCAGTCTTACCGACAAATATTCCAACACGGAATGTTACAGCAGGTGATTGTTTTTCTTCCAACGGTGGCACACGTAAACGTTTCATTGCACGCGCTCGATTACCTGATTCCAATGTATCAGTGTACAACGTTTCGACATCACTAATCAATTGTTCAACCCGTTTCGATGTATGGAAAGGAGCTGGATCAATATGCAGTTTTCTACAAGTAAATAATGAGTTTTATCGACGGATAAGTACGAAAGTAAAGTTTCCTTACCGCCATTCTTCACCACGTGTGGTTTGAAATAATTTATCATGCTTTTTCAATATCTTACGAAAACCAGTAAAATTCAATGTTTGATAGTTTTGCAACAAAACTAACATCAAATAAAATTCACTGAACGCTAGCTTCAAATCATTCCGTTTGCGATATTGCACACGTTGTGTTTGTTTTTCACGTGTCTTTTCCACTAAACGTTCTGGCAGCACACGTGTTAATGGTGTGACGGCAGTTTGATCTTCCGAACGACGTTTTATCGTCGATGACTTCGTTTCATCATGTACTTCATTGTTTCCAGACGGCTCGGCACCTGATGCACCTGAACGATGCGATACATGACGACGAGACTGTTCTATATGGCCAACTTCACTTTTCAACGTTTCCCAACGTCGCAGAGCTCTAGAAATATCGAAACAGTCTATTTCACGTTTAGGAAAACAAAAATAAAAAAATTAGAACTCGATAAACTAATCATACAGGTCAAAGATTGGTCGTGTAAGACTGACCTTGACATTTACATGAATTTCACTGCAGTTACAAAAATGTCGCTGCTACGCATTTGATACTACGTCACTATTTCATATTGGATTTCAAATTAGCATTGCCCGAAAACAAGGATTAGTTTCCAGTCCATAGACTGACGTTCTCTGAAGAAAAACGACTCTGTCATTGTGCGCAAAATTACGAAGTACTTGACTTTGCATATTGCTTCAAGCTGATTTCATTAACATAATTTCAACCAAATAGAAATCACGTTGGAAGTATACGTACTCAGCAATCTTCTCCGCAAAAAATGTATTGATCTTTGTCGCTTCTTTTTCACAATACTAAAACCAAGAAAAAAAAGAAGACGGATGAGCGGAGTGTTGATTCGAGCATTCTTACCTGGAAAAAATGTTCATCAACACGAAAGAAAAATTGTTCACGTAGAATATTATCACTGTCATCCACAAACGGTTGTGCTTTGGCAACCGCTTGTGCCAGTAATTCTTTCATATCATCGTAACGAATATACTGACTGTTCCATTCGGGTGTGACATGTGCTGATAAATGTTCGGCAAATTTCATTTTCGAACTGTTCTTTCAAGTAAATATCATTTAGAACAAGTGCCTAAGAAGAAGAAAAAACGACAAATCAGTAAGTCTCGTTTCTGCGGAGGAGGGTTTTATTTGCTTAGCAAAGCCTTTTCTTTCTTGTTCTGTTGAAGAAATGAATGATAGTTGTATACATATGCACAGAATCGAGATAAATGAATCGAACAAAAAAGAAGAGAAATGTCGAGTACGAAGAAAAATAGAAGTATATACGTCATAAATCGCTTCTGCGCTTTTCGACACAATAGAAACCTGCTCAAGCAAAAAGAAAATCGAAAACGTACCGAATTCGGTCAAACTTCCGGCGATAGATTATTATCTAGAAAAAGAAACAATAACAAAAACAAAATGTTTGTTATATTTTTCAAAGAATATTTCTTATTATTTATCTTCGCCAGAGTTTTAATACTTTATCTTTTCCTCCGCTTGCAACCTTTTGTCCATCAGGACTATAATCGACTGCATAGATTTCGTCAGCATGTCCAGGTAGATCAAAAAGAAGACACCGTTTTTCGATATTCCAAACTTTTAATGTGCTATCAGCACTACCAGACACGAGTAACCGAGAATCGGCTGACCAAGCTATTTGATAAACAGCTTGTACGTGTCCACGCAAGGTGGAAAGAAAAGCACCAGTACGACTGGACCACAATTTGATGGATTTGTCAAAGCTAGCGGATGCTAACAGTCGTGTATCAGGAGAAAATTTCACGTCATTGATTAACTGTTGATGACCGGTCATTCGAGCGAGAGGCTTTTTATCCGTTTCGGGTTTCCATAGATAGAGTGTGAAATCATCCGAACCGGAAACCAATCGTTCACCACCGTTTGTATCAAATAATTTATAAACTTTTTCGTATCTTTCCGACGCTAATGTTTGCAATGTTGATTCATCGAGATGATCATATTCGTCCGAAGCACGTTCTTTTGATGGTTCATAAGCACCAGTTCGTATAACATAGTCAGTCGACAACGCCAGCGTATTAACCCAATGTGCGTGTCCTTCCAACGTTCGGCATAGCACACCATCTGTTGTACGCCACACTTTGATGGTACGATCTTGCGATGCTGAATAAAGTAAATTTTGTCCACCCCATTTTACACATGTCACCGATGCTGTATGACCACTGAGAGTAAAAACTGTTTTAAATAAATGTGTATCCCAAATTTTAATCGTTGTATCTTTGCTACCAGACGCTAATAAACGACAACTGCCGTTCAAATGCAGAGGTTGCCAACTCAACGAATTGATCCATTGACGATGACCAGATAATAATTTTGTCCCTAGAGAACATCAGATATCGAAGAATCGATCGAGAGAAGAAACGTCTGTTTACCATGCTGTTTGCCAGTAGCACCAATCCATAAGCCAATGAGTCCCTGTTTACATGACGATGCGACCATTTTTCCATTCGGCGCCCAACTTAAACACAAGATCCAGTGTCTATGTGCTTTGCCGTATTCATCAAATGGTGTTTGTGTATTCAAATCCCAAAACCGAACAGTCGTATCGCCGCTACCCGATGCTAATAATTTTCCATTAGGACTGAACTGTAAAACGGTAATCGCTTCTAGATGTCCTTCGATTGTTGCCGTACATCGTTCAACTGGAATAACTTGAAACCGTGCTTTCGGTACACAAACAATGTTCAAGGTTTTCTCGAACATTTGTTTATTTGCTTGTTCTTCAAAATATTTTTCCAACGACTCTTTAATTTCAATCTCATCGATATAGAATGAATACGGAACTGGTTCATTGTTATCAACAGCTGCTGCTCCTTCTTGTACTTGAGCAAGTCCATTGGTAATACTATTCAATTGGCGAAGATTGACTGTCAAAGGTATTTCCACCGGGCCACCCAATAACGTCCCATTTTCGAGTTGGAACTGACTCAGCACTGCTTTATCGGATGCTGCCATGATCAATCGATGGATTTATACGTATATAAAACAAAAGAAAAGAAAAACAAAATAAAACTAAGGACAGAGGAACGGAAACACATCACTATTCTGATTCTTTTTTTCTTTTATTTCCTATATAGTTTTCTAAATCATTAAGCATAAGTTCCTTTTCACGTTTCTGTATTGCGGATTTACCATATAAACAAAACAATAATCCACCAGTTAGCCACAACAAACTATAACGTGTGTTCGAATTCTTTACAATACGTTTGAATAACGACAACCATGCTGTTTGAGTTGGTCTATCTGAATGGACAACTTTCGGTTGGTGTTCGTTGATAATCGGCGGCGGATGGCTTCTCATCGTCATTTAAGATATTTATCTAGAAAACTAACAAACTATTAAACAAGAGAACAAATCATTTCGTCGCTCGCAGATTTTTTTCTAAAAGAAAACAATATTGAGAACCTCGAAGTTTTCATATATGCGGTAAAAGCCAACGAACTACAAACTACCTTGCTCCATTTCCGCCTTTCGTCGTGCTTGGATCTCTTTTAATGCTTCGCGTCTTTCAATCTCGTCTTTGGCTTGTTGAAGGCCAGGCTTGAATGTGTAAATACCAGCTAGGACACCCACAATGCAAGCAACGGTGAAATCAGACCATGACATGCGTTTCCGAAAGCCAATATTTGGAATACGAAATCTAAAAGCCATTCTATCTGAAATCAAAACGATCATCGAAGTTTTTCTCTCTTTCAGGAAGATTTCGTCAAATGATAAACACGTTTGCCTGCTTTCAAACAAATATCATCAACAGGTATCATCATGGAACTCGGTTGACATTGATATTGTTTGAAAATCGACTAAAACAACATGATGAGTGTGGCGGATTCGATACATATCACCTTACCTGACATTGTTCCTGCCAATCTAACGGTAGCTTTTCTTGCCGATTACTAGCGGTTGAATATGCAAAACTGACGTGAAAACATGGGTTCTGAACAAAAATCGAAGTATATGTTGAAAGACGGATAAGGACAATTTACCTTGTAATAACAAGGATATCGATGTTCTTCGAGTATCCTATCAACGATTTCAACTAGTTGAGAAATTTGCCGATGCTGATCAAGTGTGAATACTAAAAACGAACTGCAATTAAGATGTTACACTTTCTCTGTTAATGTTTCTGATCACACTTACGTCGAATCATCGTCGTTGTTTAATATCGTGACGTTTTCGATGCGTGTCGCGAATCTATTTATATAATAAAACATTGATTCTCGATTTCTGTAATAGTTATACCTGTTCATTGACGTTGTCAGTTCATTTTGAAGACTCTTTCGAATCGACTCGATGTGTAGAAAACGAATAGGAAATGTTTTCGATAGGCTTATATGCAACTCTCCCAAACGTTTCCATATCTCCTGTTTTTCATTGAAAATCTCCAATAAATCATCAATCATTGTATCCATATGTGATGAACAATCGACTACAAATACAAAAAAGTTTCCGGTGAATTTCGCAAATCACTCAAATTTTACCAAACGCATAAATTGACAATGCCCAATTGCCTTCTTCGTGTGGAAATAATCTCACTCGATCATTTTTATTCTTCTCCGTCGACGAACATTCCTCATTATCCGATTCCGAGGAACTGTACAAAACAAGACTCATCCTAAGAAAAATAAAATCTCTTCTGCTGACTTTCTGTAAAGAAAGTCTGATTGGTTGTCGGTCGACCAATAGAATGATTTTGTTTCGTCCTCTATTGTGTATCTTGGCCATAGAGAGTAGAGAATGAAAAGAAAAAATCTATACCAGCTGATTACTTTTTTATATACTTTTTCATTCAAATAACGAGCATGGCCAATGCAAATCGTCATGTTAAACTGGACGAAGTTTGGGAGAAATTATTAGATGGAATCAACCATGTTTATCAATTTCAGTCGATGAAAAAACAAGCTTATATGTTACTTTACACGTAAATTCACCTTGTTTTTTGTCATATATTTTTGTCAATGATTTGTTTTAGTCATGTTTACAATTATTGTATCAGCAGTCCAAATCAAGTGAAAACACCGATAACCTCTTCGAAAGGAAATCTAGGCGATCTCAATCGCAACTCGACACAGCAAGGAGCACACATTGTTGGAGGAGAGTTGTACAATAAGCTGAAAAACTATTTAAAAAATTATCTCGAAGATATTTGTCAGGCAAGTAAATACGATTGATGTACAACTATGAACCTAAATTAAACAGAATGAACATCGGATAACCTACATAATGTTTCATTCTTCTCACTGTCAATGAGAAGGTCATGTCGATATAGACAACCTTGAACCTTCGCTACACACGAATAAGTAATTGTTGTTACATAAGACATGCAACTGTAGAATATACTTATTCCGTTTGATCAACTAACACAATTCATGTTTAGAGTGGAAGTGATTTACAAGGTGAAGATGTTCTACGATTCTATACAGCACGTTGGGATAAATATCAATTTTCCAGCAAAGTGATGAATGACTTTTGTTCGTATATCAATCGCCATTGGGTGCAAAGGGAGTACAATTCCGGCCGAAAAGATATTTATGATATATACACGGTAAGTTGCCATTGATAGGTGGAATGAATATTGATTTTTTTTAAACTTTTTGGATAGATGTCTATGGAAACGTGGCAGAACGTCGTTTTTCGACCATTGTATAAACATGTAACACAGGCCTGTCTTGATTTAATCAAATCTGAACGAAACAATGAAATTATCAACACTCGTATAATAAGTGGAGTCATACAAAGCTATGGTAATCGATTTAGGAAGAGAAGTCCATTAGTCTTATACGCTTTGTCTTTAGTTGCTCTCGGATTCACCGAAGATACATCGAACAGCAATCAAATGATATCACCAACATTAGCTATCTACAAAGATTTCTTTGAAATACAATTCCTTCAAGATACGGAACAGTTCTATCAATTAGAAGCAGCTACTTTTCTCGTTCATAATTCAGTTACAGAATATCTACGAAAAGTTGCGCAACGACTTGACGAAGAAGTCCATCGTGTTCAATCCTATCTTCATTCATCGACATTACCAGCGTTGATTAAAAAAGTCGAAGATGTTATGATTCGTGATCAACTAGAGGCGATTTATACCGAAGCCAAAAATCTTCTGCGTGACGAACGACATCAAGGTACGTCATTCGAATAATTGACCAAACAAAGAAACCAACTTGAGTTCGTTCAGATTTAGCACTGCTGTTCAAATTAGTAAGTCGAGTGCCGAATGCTACGTTGGACTTGAAACGAATCGTTGAAAATCATGTTTATGAAATTGGTTTTCAAACGATCGAACGCGTCCATGCGACAGCGATAAACGTAAGATGAAATTCTTCGAGAAAATCATTCCTACCGTGTTTTTGTTCGTATGTAGGATCCTAAAGTATACATCGAGACCATTATTGATATCCATAAGAAATTCTTAGCACTGGTACAAGACGCATTTGGTGGTGAACAAGGTTTTACCGCTGCTCTCGATAAAGTAAATCCATCTTTGCCGTTGAAATACTTCACTGTCAATTTGTTACATCTTTATAGGCGTGTGGTAAATTTATCAACAACAATCTTGTCACTCAAACAGCTGGTAGTACAACAAAATCACCCGAATTATTAGCTCGATATTGTGATGCATTGCTAAGAAAAGGGTACGTCGAGTCGTGCTGTAAGAATGGTAAACAATGAATCGATTTTCCCTTTTAGAAGCAAAGCAGTGGAGGAAACTGATCTGGAAGAAAAATTCAATGAAATTATGGTAAAGATCTTTGAATTACGAAATTTGACAATGATTTTCTCTCCTAGATTGTTTTCAATTACGTCGAAGATAAAGATGTCTATCAGAAATTTTACGGTAAAATGCTAGCCAAACGTTTAGTTGGTCAATTGAGTGCGTCGGATGATTACGAAGAATCAATGATTTCGAAACTAAAAGTAATGAACGAATTCTTCGATTCAATCCGATACATTCTTCTTTTGCTAGCAAGCATGCGGTTTCGAATACACGTCGAAACTACAACGAATGTTCCAAGACATTGGCGTTAGCAAAACTCTCATAATCGAATATGAAAAATACTGTGAAACTAATCATATTAGTAATAAAGGTACATTTCATAAACCAGCTACATTCAAATTCATCCATTGTAACTTACTTTTTCAGTCGATTTTTCTGTTATGGTACTCAGTTCCAATTCATGGCCATTTTCTACTTCTCCAGCTTTTGCCCTTCCGCCAGAAGTACGCGAAGTTTTCATCGGTCTTTCATTAGTCTATTCGTTCGTCTTGTTTTAGTTAAAATCCACATTCGATAGTTTTACGGACTTTTATACACATCGACATAACGGTCGAAAGCTAACATGGCTTCATCAACATTCAAAAGGAGAGTTGCAAACATACTTTACATCTCAGAAGTATATTTTACAAGTATCAACTTATCAAATGGCTGTTTTATTACAATTTAATCGAGCAGTAACATGGACAGTAGAGCGATTGCAGGAGAAAATAGAAATTAAACTTGAACTTCTCTCGCAAATTCTTCTCGGCTTGATCAAAAGTAAACTTCTGGTTTGCTCTGAAATCAATGAAGACGAGCTGGAAGAAGACTTGAAAGAAAGTGATATCAAAGCGTCTTATTCCATTCGTTTAGCAACAGAATTCAAAAGCAGAAAACTACGACTGAATCTGAATGTTCCGCTGAAATCTGTCGAACAGAAAGATATCGAAGGTGTTCATCGAACGATCGATGAAGACAGAAAAATGGTGATTCAAGCCGCTATTGTTCGAATAATGAAAGCGCGACAAACATCCAAACACGCGCTGCTCATGCAGGAAGTCATTCAACAACTAAGTTCGCGTTTCCGTCCGAAAATTCCTGTTATTAAAGTAGGTTTATCCGTATTTAACCGATCGGTTTCTGATGTTTATTCTGTTTTTCAGAAATGTATTGACATTTTAATCGAAAAAGAATATCTCGAACGACAATCCAATGAAAAAGATGTCTTACGCTACTTAGCTTAGCTCGATAATCCACCTACACAAATCTTTTTCGTTGTTGTTATTGTTTATTCAGTATGTGTGTGTGCGTGTGTGCATCTTTTCTTTTTCTGTATAGTTTACATAATCTTTGCACAAGCAAGAAATAATACAAAACGATATCATCTTCATCGGCAGTTGAATATTGTCGTATAGATATATTATCCTAGGCTCAACTTTCTATGTTGTATAAAATGATGTGCTATTTCTTTTCGTGGATTGTCACATTTTACTTCTTTTTTTCCCTTTTTTTGCTGTCCTACGACACTTAACTCATATTAAAATTAATCTGAATTATTCTGTTAAGAATCGAACTTCTTACACTATGAATTGAACTGGTGTGGGAAAGAACTTTTTCATTGGCTGCCTTCAGACGAATAACCTCATGTTGTTTGCAATCTTGAAAAAGGATGGAAAAAACCAACGGTGAATATATAAAAAGATTTGTTCTTTGATTCGATCTTTCATACGAGAAAACATGCAGTGTGAATTTTGTAAATCAAAGATTTTGTCCGATAATTTTGCAATGATTAATAAAAAGCGTTATTGTTTATCCTGTCTTACGAAAAATCCATCATTATTTGCGGTTGGCAATCAAAATGCGTCAAGTGAATCAACCAAACAATGTCAAGTATGTTTTGATGAAAAATCTGAGAAAGAATTTCAAAAAGTCTACAGTCGCCGGTGTTCCCATGTTGAGCGTCGAATTTGTGACAATTGTCTCTATCAGCATGTTAAACAGGAATTTGGAAAAATGTGTACGGACAGTGCGCGATGTCCTGAATTGAGCTGTCGCACTAATTTCAGTGTGAAAACAGTACAAAAGATTCTATCGGACAAGAATGACAAAGCTCTGTTGGAAAAATACGAACGTTTTATTCTTCATCGACAATTGGAAATGATGCCGGAGTTTATCTGGTGCGCACATGGATGTGGAATGGGTCAGTTGAATGATGGTGGAGATGAAAACAACATTGTCAGATGTGCCAAATGTCGTCAACAAACGTGTTTCACACATAAAGCAGTATGGCATACGGATATGACCTGCGCAGAGTAGGTTTTGTTGAGTGTTGTGCTAAATCAACATTCTTTTTATTTCAGATATGATGCCGTTTATAATTCCGAACAACGAGCCTCACAATCGTGGATTTCACAAAACTGTAAGAAATGTCCTAAATGTTCCGCACGAATCGAAAAGGCGTCAGGATGTGATCATATGACATGTGGCAAATGTCGGTATGAATTTTGTTGGTCATGCTTAGCCGACTACAACGCTATTCGACACGATGGTAATCATCGACATGATTCTGGTTGTAAACATTACGCTCCTTATTCTAATTGAAATGAATAAATACCTATTTCTTATCTATTGTGTCTTATCAGCAGCCAGGGGGAAAGAAAAGATGGCTTGGTAGTGTTAGTGATAGAATCATAGAGTTGAGAGCAAGACATCTATTGTTGTTTTGCGAAATTTATTCAGTATGGTCAGTACTCGATCATTTGTGACGTTTAGTACGGTTTGTTTTTATTTAACATGTTTATCAGTGGCAGGTTCTCATGCAGATGTCCATTCGACGTCTACCCGACGAACGTGGGATCAAGCCATTGCCATGGCTAAATCGTTTGTTCGACACTTAAATTTAACAGAAAAATGTGCGATGACAGCCGGCATTAAAGGTCGGTGCGCCGGCAATGTCTTGCCTATACCACGTCTGAATTTCACCGGTCTGTGCTTTCAAGATTCGCCATCTGGCGTTGGCGATGGAATTCTCTATGCAACAGCATTTGTGCCCGGTATACAGATCGCAGCTACCTGGGATCGAGATTTATTTTACAAGCGTGCCGTGGCCATTGGTAGAGAATTTCAAGGAAAAGGTATCAATTTTGCGTTGGGTCCCATGATGAATATCGATCGTAATGCGCGACATGGTCGAAATTGGGAAGGATTCGGTGCTGATCCCTATCTATCAGGAGAAAATGCTTTTCTGTACGTACAAGGTCTTCAAGATCAAGGAGTAGTTGCAACCGCCAAACATTACATTTGTAATGAGCAAGAAACAAATCGTATTTATGCTACACAAAATTTGACTTATATACGTAGTTATTCAGCTAATCTCGATGATAAAACTATGCATGAGATTTACCTTTGGCCATTTGCGGCCAGCGTCGCAGCTGGTGTGGGCTCTGTCATGTGTTCATACAACGAAGTCAACAACACACCCGCTTGTCAAAATGATAAAACACTGAATCAACTCCTCAAAGGAGAACTCGGATATTTAGGAAACGTCATGTCGGACTGGGGCGCAACAAAAACAGGTGCTCAATCAGCGTTAGGAGGTCTAGATATCGATATGCCCGGCTCTGATGGATTGATGGGCATGTCCCTTGTTGAAGAAGTTCGTAAAGGAAAAATATCAGAATCGCGGATCGATGATATGATTATTCGACTGCTGTCACCTTACTATCTCCTTGGGCAGGATCAAGGATATCCAACAGTCGATTTAGATCGAGACGTGCTTGAAAATCACTATCAGATTAATCGCGAGATCAGTACAGCCGGTATTATTTTACTTAAAAATACGAATTATGTTTTGCCGTTCAATGTTACTACGGACAAGCACTTTTTTGTTTACGGTGAAGCGGCGACTCAATCCAGACATGGATTTGTTGGTGCAGGTGAATTGCAACATGGTGGTGCAACTTACCAAGGTGGAGGCTCTGGTTATGTTGAACCAACATATGCTATCGATCCTCTTACTTCTTTGTTATTGAAAAGTCGGGATGCACATCTTCAAATTCGCTATATTACTGACCAATCTGATTATCTTCTGATCGAAAGCTCGTTCCGATACCATGGTTTTCATCAAGCAAAATGTCTTGTTTTTATAAGTGCTTTCTCTTCCGAAGGGTTCGACAGATTAGATCTTCTCCCTGCAAACGATGGCAATCTACTTGTGAGAACAGTTGCGTCTCATTGCGCAAACACAATCGTCGTCGTCAACAGTGTATCACAATTGGATCTTGAAGCATGGATTGATCATCCTAACGTGACAGGTGTGATCTGGTCAGGCATGCCTGCGTCCGAATACGGACCGGCTATAGTCGATGTTCTGTTCGGTGATTACAATCCAGGCGACAAACTAGTATTTACAATAGCGAAGAAAGCCTCAGACTATGGTACAGATATCACGCTATCATTTGAATCCAACTACGTTGAAGGTGTCTTCTTGGATTATCGTCATTTCGATAAAAACAATATTACACCACGATATTATTTTGGCTATGGTCTTTCTTATACGACGTTCTCGTTTTCACAGCTTGTTATCTCGAAAACGACGGTAGATCGACAACGACGAATACGATCTTACGCAAATCAGGGCACATCGACGCTCTTTGAACCTGTCTATCAGATAACATTTACTATCACTAATGCAGGCAAAGTCTACGGTTCTGAAGTACCTCAGCTTTACCTCGGATTTCCTACTGAAGCAGCAGAACCACCCAAAGTACTGCGAGGCTTCCAAAGAGTATATTTATCAGCAGGTGAATCGAAAACTGTAACGTTGGTGCTATCACAAAAAGACATATCGTATTGGAATGTTGTTAATCAAAAATGGTCAATCGCTTCGGGCAATTATTCAGTTTGGATTTCAACATCTGCCAATAGTGCTGACATCAAACTCACAGGTTTCTTTAAGATATAAATGATTATTTTTATTGTTTTATAAAAGAAAAGAGTAAAAAGTTTGAAAATCACACTGCACTCATAGACGCTGCTGCCATGAGGTATTGTAAAAGTTCAAATGCTGCAGACATAACCTGACCTATCAGTGGATGAGCAGAGTATTCTTTAAAAGGTCCCTCAGTAGAATGTAATTGATCTGAGACTAAGAATGTTACTTTGCATCGACCTTCTGCTGGATGTGGAGTTCTCTTATCATAACATGGAAGTATTCGATCAGTTATGACTTGACTTGCTTGAAATATATTACTTATGAGTTTATCGGATATTTCTGTTCGATGATCCCAAACAATGAGTTTGCCAGCTTGGTTGATATAACGTGCACTACCGTCCTTGTAGACAGCCAATGTATCTAGACCGTTTGCAAATCGTATTTCTACGATTACTCCGAGAAGCTCGTTTGTATCGATTGGTTGAGTCATAGTGTGTAGACGCTGGTAAGCTAATAGACGAAGACGACTTGCGACGTGTGGATCTTGCGATAATTTCGTTAACTTTTCTGGATTAGTCTCATCCGACAGCACCAACTTCCATGGATCTTCTGATGAAGTAGTGTTATTTTTATACAATTCTAGTTGATCACAGAACAGAAGTTCATAAATTTCGTTGATACTTTCTTGTTGATATGGGCCCGTCATCTAAACACATGAACATCAATGTCGCTATAAACAAACTCGATGTTTTTCGATTTTATTACAGTTACTTTAGATGCAATAGTGAATGAAATTGGATTTGTGTGATCTACGGCTGTGCATATAAACGAGAGGAAAAAACGGAAGTGATTTATGTCACAATACAGATGACTCGTTTGTTTACCGAAATAGAAACATTTATTCATTCTAACAAAAAGAAAAACACGCATCATATTCACGAAGACATAGATTAATGCGCCATCATAAAGCAAAAAGACAAAAGAGATAACGAGGAGAGAATCTATATTCTATAATGATTACCGTCATCGTCATCAATTTATCCTTCATAAATATTCAAATACTAAAAAAAATGTATGAAAAACAACAAACGAAAAACTAGATGGCATCTCGGCATTGCCGAGAGTGCAAGGTAAGATGTGAAGCGATAGATGTAAAAGTTTTGCCTTCTTTCGTTAGAATTCACTAATAAATGATAGTTTTGAAAATTATTGAATCGCAATGAAGAAAACCTCCATGTTTCGATCAAAAACTTTCTCTTGAAACAATATTTATTTATTGCTCAAATAACTTTTCTATTGTTTGACTATCATTATCCAGTTACTTTGGAAAAGTCGCGCCTAACTTTCTTTTAAGTCAGAATCGTCTTTTTCTAACGTTTCCTGTAAACCAATGAAGATGTTTATCAAAAATGAGTTTCGAACGCTATAAATTCAACATTTGTACGTTCATTGCACGTTTCAACCATAATTCTATGAGCCGTAGTTCTCAAGATCATCGCGACACAAAATAACCAAATTGTATGCGTACGCATATAGTATAGAAAGAAATAAAGAAAACTCGCGACACGATGCAATATAGATGCTTCGCATCTTTTAATAATAACATTTACAAAATTGGATACATGAATACAAGTTGTTAACAAAACCTAAAAGACCGACTGTGCATTCTTCAATCATGCTGCACATGCGATCTTATATCAGTTGGATTTGGGAGTACAACAGCAATAAAATCTTCCGCTGCGATTGTTGCAAGGTGTCCTACTACCGACAGGGCCAATGGAAAACCGACCGATATAAGTAGTAGGATCGCCGTACGAATTAACACAATCACCACTGGGTGGATTTGCACGAACATTGCAGTCGTATGTGCCACCATTCAGAGTATTGGATATCGCCATAGCAGGATGACGACCATATGAACCCGAACAGAAAGCGGCACAACTTTTCGTATCGGTACCATTCAACAAACGGCCTCGGTAAGTATAAGTATATACAAGATTGAAGCGGCATGTACTGCATGTTGGTGGCAACTCAGTCGTCGTCGTCGTTGTTGTGGTAGTAGTACTAGTATTAGTAGTAGTTTGTGTTGTTGAAACACTCGTTTCGGAGGACGATGTGTCTGTTGCAGTGGTAAATTGAGTGTATTGATTGGATGTAGTATTAGGAGAATCAGTGAAAGTTACTACCGTGTTAGTAATTATTGGATCTAGGGCTAAATATGAGAAAAGTTAACGAAACCTAATAAAATATATGTCGTGCACTTACTCGAAACTGGACTAAATGAACAAAATTCATTCTTAATATTTTGTACTTCGCTGTTGCTCAGATACATTACCAAATCTGGATTTTGCCGAGGATTTCGAATGATATCTTTAACTACATGAATAAAGTGATCTCGTTTGCTAACAGTATTATAATATTTCGGTATATTGACGACGAATCGAACATGTAATTGATAGCCATTTAATGTTGGCACTCGTTCACAAGGTATTAATCTGAATAACCTAAATACAAAATGAGTGTTTTAATTCAGAGCAACTGTCATTCTAACTTTATTTCTCAAAATTGATCATGCGAATGTCGTAGAAATTACATTGTATTTACCCTTTTCTCCGACCCGTGTTCAGAAGTCTTGTAGTGGTACCAAATTGAACGGAGCTAATCGAAGAAATGTAACCTTCTAGACCATATGCTTTCTCTAACTAAAAAGAAACAAGTAAACAACAACTAGCACTCTTTCTACTGAGTGACGTTTATATACCTGTGAAATCATCATACTCTCGTTTACAGCCTTTGCAATATTCATACTGCTGTAGTTTGTTCCATAAGTCACTGAAAAAGTATATTGAACTAAAGAAGACAATAATTAGAAGTATTGAAAAAAAGTGTATAAATTACATAGTTGGCCATTGACTGCAACGGATCGATCTGGTAGATAAACAGGGATCAATGAGATGGCCATCGTCATTAGTATAATTCCCACAACCAACAGACAACAGATGCATGACCATGCATGATCCAATCGACGTCTGAAAAAAGATATCCGTCATCAAAGTTGTCTAACCAGGCATAAGAAAATGGAAGATTTGGAGATTTTAAAAATCTAACACTTCCACTATTTTTTATCAAGATACATACTCGTAACTGATTTTATTACTGTTCGCCTCACGATTGACAAGAGCCATGAAACTTTAGAAATCCGTCTTTAGTCACAAGAGAATGATACCATAATATACTTTAGTACAAGTCTGTATTCTGCCCTGAAATTCACCGATTTTATACCAAAGTGTTGACTATTAAACTGATTTCATATTGATATGCGTACGTCATATTGTTATTAATGAAACATTAACATGTGATTTGGTTTGTGATACCTTGCTAAACAGTCATGTGATCTGACGTATCTATATGTGATTCTTGCACATCTGGGTGACTTATTACTGTAATTAAAAAGTAATCAAACCTGGCGATATCGACAAGCGTTCCTAGTTTAAATAAGTATTTGATATGAGGTTTGAAAAATCTATGTGTCAGTGTATTTCATCCAGGTAATACCTTGGATATCATACTTGTCGACTAGGAAACATATTATGTTGCATGGATTGCCTTTTTTTTCATGTAACATTAATTAAATGAATGAGTTGAATTTAATTAGAATATTGAATCTTGAAGGTGAATGAGTTGAATAAAGTTGTGGACTTTGTTTTTTGTCAATTTGATTGATTTTATTCGAATAAAATTGCTGACGCACTGCTTGTTTTTCGATTTTGTTACTACATTTCATAAAGTACACGTATTAATTAAGCACTTTATTGAATACACCTAAACGACTGATTATATGAGCAATACTTATGTACCATATGTGTTAATTATATTTTGATTTATAGGAAATTATTCGAAATAGAATCGATCTACTCACTCAACCCAAAATAGGACTGTTGGAGAAAGAAATGAATAGAAAGAACTATGCTAACTTTATTTCTTACAAGATTAGTATCTACACTCTCTTTTCTACAAAATCGAGACGTTTTTGCCATTGTCGAAGGCGAGTATCGTTTGATGGTAATGAACGTCGTCCAATTTCAACAGCTAGTCGATAGTTTTGACGTGCCATTTGGTAATTTTCTGACTCGTGGTACACAAATCCAATATTACTATACGTTTGAGCCAAATCATAATGATTTGAAGGAAGAATTCTTTGTTGAATTTCAAGTGCTTGTTTGTGTGATTCAAGTGCTTTACCATGTTTATCCATTTTTTCATAGACAGAGCCCAGGTTATTGTAAGAATACGCGATGTTCTCTTGATGTTTTGAATCATTCGAGCGTACTGCTCGCCGAATCTTAATAGCGTCCATATAGAATTTGATCGCTTTCGCGTAATCCTTTGTTTTCTCATAGACCGACGCAATGTGATTGCAGGAATGTCCTAAGCCAACCAAATCCGGATGTTTTGCTTGTATTTGAATACCTAATGCACCCTCATAATGAAGCAAAGCACTGGAATATTGTTCCATTTCTTCATGAACACTGCCGATTTCTGTATGAATGACACCAAAAAATCGATCATTTTCAGGCAGACTTCTCTCTTTGATTGTCAATGCTTTGTCATAATACTCGAGCGCTTCTTTATATTTCTTTTGTTTTTTTGTGCTCCATGCGAGTTGTTTATAACAATGCACTTCATCATCTTCATTATTTGCTTGATCAAGAAGACCTTCGTAAAATTCTTCGGCTTTGTCGAACTGACGAAGGTTAATCAGTAATTTGCCTAAACGCTCCCATCCATTGGATCTTTCGATTTTCTCTTGGATACATTTTGTTAAATCATTCAATTGTGAATCTTGATCGCTCGTTTGAACCAGATCTACCTGCCATAGATTTGCTGTTTTATCAACTTCGACCATGTTTCCAATGCGAAACACCGTGTGCATGGTGAAGAGAATTTCATGTTCCATTTCATGTTGACTCACGGCTTTGATATCCGCAAATGGTGTGGACTGCGTCGAAGGGTCTATGTTGATTATAAAAACGATTCCTATAGAATCATAATTGGCAAGTGCACTACGAGCAAACGCATATGCAACACCAGGATCTCTACTTGTTGATAGAAAATTATTGAACGATATGAGACCGCCTTGTGTTTGATTCAGTTTTTCAAAATCTGCTCTTAACAAACCTTGACCTCGATACGTAGTAAATTTTTCCATAAAAGGATTTCCACGAAATTGTTCACGATGCAATTCTTCAATATGACGATGAATATCGCGAATAAAAAAACCCATTTTGATTAATGTATCGACTTCCATCATACGTAATGCTTGATTAAGTAATGAATAGAGACAACATTCATGTGTATACCACCAAATTGGTGTTTGATTTCTATAGTTCTTTTCGAATTCGTCGATATTTCTTAGTTGAACAACGTTGTCAGCAAATGCTTCGCGATAATATTTAACGAAATTCTTCATATGTCTTTCATCGAAATCAATCTTTAGTAAAATATCTTTCAATATTTGTGTGTACATATATGTTGGATCGAGATGATCGATATTTCCGGTGAATTTTGTACTGCTTTTCGGTACGAAACCAAAAGAGATCGTGTTTCGATCGCAGTTTTGCGCGTCTTGTTTCAATTTGAGACCTAATGATGACATACAGTCGTAGTAGTCTTTCACTTTCAACCATTGTTTGGTCCAATCTGGAGCAGGTACATGTGTTTCACAAAAAACATAAATCGAATCGATTTGAACGATACTGTGAATAAGTGGTACGATATCTTCAGCTATTTTTTCTGGTACAATCAGGAGTATCTTCTCGTCTTTGATATCGCTTACAAAATCAATGCATTCGTCCGAATCAGTATATACATATGTTGTGTGGATAATTCGGCCAGATTCAGTTAATAAACTCTTGAACCCTTCAGTTTGGTTTTCATTCATATAAGGATCTAGCCAAACAATTATACAGTTTTGTACGATGCGTGAACTGATCGGTGCGCGCGGTTTACGAATTGAAATTGCGGGTGAGCGCTTTGTTTTAGGTTTTGGTTTTGTTAGGCCTATAGCCTGCCATGATTTAATCAGATCGGTCAAATCCATTTGACGAAAGTACGATTGTGAATGACGATCGTCAGTCAAGTGAGAAGAACGAGGGGACTTCGGATAATAAAAACGACTAATGCCGACGAAAACAGTCTTTCTGCCGTTGTGGGCGCGTTTCACAGAGAAAAAAAAAGTTACTCGTTCTTCCTTCTTATCTTGACTGACGTGCACATGAGAGAGACCAAATTTTTTCTTCACCCGTAGATTTTTTTACACATTCTCAAATATCGCTGTTGTCGTTTCAAATTTTGCTCTTCGATGTGTAGTTGAAGTGTTTATTCAAAGTCGCGAGAAACAACGCACCATGTGACATGTATTTCTCCCGTCTAGGATACCATAGATGTATCTGGCGAATTCGATTCCGTTGAGAGAAGAACTTTGTTACTAAGAAACCAAATTAATATTAATTTATCAAAATATATGTTCTGTTCACTTTACTTCCTATGCTTTCTTAACAAACAGAGTGACTATGACTCATGTTGGTTTTTTCCAAGAAGTGAATCATCCGTGCGTCTTTCTATACACGTGATGGAAAAAGAGAACACCTTATTACTGAGATAAAATATCAATAGAAAACCATAGTTGCACACGTATATAATAGTAGATCATCACGCAAACAACTGTACCAAATATGAATCGGGTGAAACGTAAACTATATCGTGATGCAACGTCCAAACGAGTACGATGTAAGTTTTAAAAGATGAGACCTTCGTAGTTTTTTACTTTATTCTGAATACATAGCTGAAAAGAACACCGCTGTTGAATATTTGTCTAACGAACTCTTTCTTGAAATCTTCGACTATCTTGATGCATATCATATATGGAAAGCATTTACGAATCTGAACAAACGCTTCCAAGATCTGCTTTCATCATCATCCCTTCGCCTCAAAGTGATTATGAAGTCTAATGATCAATCACCCGGTTGTGATGACCAGGTGAATTGCATTGTTCAACATAAGCATCAATTGGCGTCACTTTCTCTGTACGATTCTACATTTATCGATCAGTTTTTTCAAACAATCACATGTGGTTCTTTTTTTCAACGTTTGGAGTCGGTCGTACTAGAAAACTTAAAACCACGTGACCTTCTTCCAATCCTCCTAAAACTAATTCGAGTTCCCCGACTCAGTTTACTAATGCTCACCGTCTGCAATGGCAACGCTATTCCTGATTTCAGTAACGCATATCGACTCATTCTCGGTTTACCGATGATACAATACATTAAGCTTCGTTACCTTGGACCAACACCACTACTTCTTCTGAGAAACATTAGTGATCAATATAGTACTCTGAAACGATTGAACTTAGATCATACATGCCAATCTGCGGACCTGGTCTATTTATTGTCTTATACACCCTGCCTTTCTCATCTACGTTGTCGCACGTTAAAACCATCTCAACAAATGAATGAAAAACTAGCAGTCTCAGTACCTTATTTAACCTACTTATTCCTAGAAGAATGTGATTTGCATTTTTATGAACTCGAAATATTTATCAAGAAGCTCGCATCACAATTACGAACTTTTCGCATTTTAAGACTAAAAGATACTACTTATCTTGATCATGAGCGATGGGAACGCTTGATAACAACACATATGCCCTATTTGAGCCATCTTCGTCTCGGAATTCATCAATTAATGGTTGACAGTTTGGAAATAACACCATATCACCACCGCATTCAAAGATTTACTTCACAATTCTGGGCTGAACATCGATGGATTTTCGACATTCGAGTTGTTACCTATAACTCCTCTCAAGTAATAATCTCATATCTCATTGAATCAGACAAGTATGCTATGAAAGAATATTAATTTATCCGTAATAACTTATTCTCCTAGGACACAAAGAAAGTCTACTCCTGATCGAAGTGATTTGAGTACCACGTTATTCCTGTTAGAGCAATCTAGATCAACGGATTATCACGCAGGACTTATCGATAAACTTGCGGTTCTATTTACTCTTGTTCAAATACAGCGGCTGGCTCTCCAATATCGTACAACTTTTGCTGGAATATTACTTGACTTTTTACGACATTTGCCAAATCTAAAAACACTACAGATTCGATCATTATCATTGGATGAGCCACGATATTTAAACGACGAAGAAAAGGAAATCTATCGGTCAATATCAACTAATAATCAAATAAAAACACTGTATATCAAAGAAGTAACGGAGTTAGCACAAATTCAATTTCTGATTGATTTATGCTCATCATTACGATATCTGAGTATTGATAATTTGAGTAACTTGAGTATGAAATCAGTGCTCGAGCTTATCTTATTTAAAAACTACGAACGTGCATCTCACTTGCGTGGATTAGTTATTAATATACGAGAACCTTGTCAGAGAACACTTATGGAAGCACAAAATACGGTTCACTCAGATGAACGATGTAACAAGTACTCAATTTCACTATATGCTGGTAAATACATTCATATACAAAAGCGTAATTGAAATTTTATAGTTTCTCATCGTTCGACATACTTTTTTTATAAAATAAAAGTTTTGTATTAACTGATGACTAATGCTCGCTTTTATGTTTTAGAAGAAACAGTATACTACGCTTATGGTTTGATTTTTCGAAAGGAGTTATATGATTACATTATTTTTCAACGGACACATTAGATATGAGCAATCGTAGAAATGGTTTCATTCAGATAGAAATTGATATGTGAAGTAGCAGATGAGAAATCGACTGTGTAGCAATAATACAAGATTTTTTCCAGAATGAACATCATTTTACGATCTGTAGTGCTATGCATCGTTTGCTTTGACTGAGCTAAGAATACAAGTAGATATATTTCTGTACAGAAAACAACATCTATGTTTGATATTTAACAAGAATAGAGACTGTTTCGCTGCAGTTTTCTGACAATCCTGTCGTTGTGTTCAGTACAAGATCTTCCAGCATTGAGACATAATGGATTATTGAGGTATTATTTGATTGGTGAGTTTTCGCATCCATTGTTGACTTTGAGTTAGTGGAATTCGAAATAGAACATAAATCAACTGACGACGAAATCTTTTCGATGTGCAAACATATACATAAAATGAGTTCTAAGAAAGAAAACTTGATTAAATATTTGTGCCCTAACAAATTCGATATGCATGATACTTACAGCGTAATAAACATAGTAAAGCATTAGAGTAATATGAGAAGCTAGCTGGAGTTTCGCTCGAAAAAGACGATCATCGCTCCTCTCAGCATTCAATGATAAAATATTTACAATTGTATACGGTAAAAGTGTAAAGAAATTCGCCAGTACTTGTACCAAAACCATAACAGTCAGCTGTTTATCTAATTCTCGTCGAGCAATAGGAACAGTATCACGTGATGTTCGACGAATATTTCCATAGGACATTGAGCCAAAACTTGCTGTTACAGAGAATGGTAAGAAGCCGAGAAGAATTAAAACAATGAAATAAGTGCGATATTGGATGTAGAATGCATTTGTCATTTCGCAACTAACTTTATTTGTTCCATTTGCAATGACATGATTGTTAAAAACTGCATACGGTATACCGTGTAAAATCCAAACTAAACTGAATACGAAGACCAAGGATAAAGCTACGCGAAAGTGACACATTCTTTTTAAACATGCCCAATGAGCTGTAGCACAATACTGGTCAATCGTGGCAAGACAAAAACATGTCAGCGATATCATTACACATATGTGAGAGAAATATAAGCGAAATTTACAATAAAACAAAGAGGCGCCTGTTCCATCGCTGCCATAAGCATATAGAAAAATACGAGGCAACAGACCCGTGCATAATTGGCCAATATTGAATATCGACATTATGGTCAGGTACAATGCACATGAATTTCGCCGAAATGTTCGAAGAGTGAGAAATACTGTTAGATTTAGAAGTCCGCCGATGACACCCATCAACAAAACTACAAAGCCACCATAGATAGCAATGTTACTTCCAATTGACTTCAATAATGAAATGTATCTCGAGGACATTTTTAAACAGCAATCTCTTGGGGCCGGTCTTGCTCTCCGATTCTTAACTAGGAAATGAATGTTGTCAAAGAGGATTTCCAATTAATATAGCCGAAGGATACGTGTTTAAGTCTTTTGTCATTTCCGGTCCAGATTTTTGTTAAACTTACAATCATAACTAAACTCGTTCTTAATTACATACAAATACTTCGTTAATCATGAGTATTCTTTGATCTCTCAAAAGTTAGCAGTCTTTGACATGCATATATTTTTTTACAAGATGGGAAACTCAACTTCTAAATTAAAAAACTCTAATAAATAATGTACTAATATTTCACTCGAGAGGATGATGGGCTCGACCCGCTGTTAATGTCGAGGTCGCATTAGTGCCAAAAATCGTATGATGATGGAGGATATTTTTGTGTATGATGAAAGAGCCATCTTTATTTGTTCTGGATGAAAAAAAAATAGAAAGGTTGGTTGTTCCGTGTCTTCTGCTGAATTCGGTGATAACCAAGATGATGTTGCGGGATTTTGCCCATTATAATGAGAATTTTTTCTGTGAGAAGATTATATATCAGTCACATTTTATGTTGAAGGAGTTATATTTCTTCATGATGTACAACCAGCTGATTGTGCTGCTCGATCGTCATATCAATGTTTCGGGCAACAGTTTGCGTGCAAAATTAACTATGGATGAATCTCAATGTGTGAAGATCTTTACCGCAATAGATCCGTGTCTTACGTTTCTCGAGCAGAGCATCAACAAGCGAATCTTTGTCATTGTGCCTGGTTCATTCGATCCAACGACAGTGCTATCGATATGCGATCATAAACATGTACATCACATCTATTCACTTCATGGAGATATTGCAAGTCATACCAATTTGGCAGAAGGTTATGCAAATAAATTAACCACGTTCAATCATGAAGATAACTTAATAGGTCGACTTTTCCAAGATATTGAAAACTATCTACGTCAACAAGCAAACGAATGCATCATACAAGCCAATATTTACAAAGAACGTGCGAAACAGGTTAGCACAGGGTGCTGTGGTTGATCGCACAAAAACATTAAACAACATAAAAGTGCTCAATCGCTACCACTGAACTTCGAGGCATACGTTATATCACAAGTTGCAATCTGAGCCAACCGCTTCTTTACCTATTAACAGTACTTCAGCTCTTGTACGCTTTTAATGTTGTTTTTCGCTCTTTGTTATATGAAAACTTACGTATTTTGAGGTGATGCTTTAGCTAATCGTTGGTTATTTAACAGCAGATCGAAGCCTTATGAAACTTCATAGAAAGCGACGAACATTCAGAAACTAAAGGATAGGTCCGTACGGATCCTGTAACAGTTTTTTTTGTGTTACCGAAGTGATTTCTAAGTCCAGACATGGTACCATATATCGTCGCAGATGATTACCAGCGTGAAGCGACTAATTCAATCCAGTAACACTTCCACGAAAGAAACTATTAAATTTTACTCAAAAACCACTGCATCGTTTTTAGCTGCATATTGGCTTTATATCATAGTGTTATCTCTTTTAGAACTACAACTCAACATATAAAACAAGCTTCCTGTATTTTCAACGTTTGAATATTTATATGCCATTATGATAAGCATAAAAATAATTGATAGCTAGTGTAACAGAAGAATGGAATTCACTATTTTAATATATATTTACATGTGGGTCTAGTTGGACCCACATGGTATGAGTTTAAGCGAAAAAGAAACGCAAACAACGTACAAGGGTTGAAAAATGAGCATCTAAAAATGTGCGATTCTCTTGTACTACTTCCATCGATATACGCATACGGTTGAGATTATATGTCTACTATTTAAAAGTGTCTCTTGTTCGATGATGATCAAAAATAGATGGATATGGTCTTTTACGCCCTTTTCCATATTGAGATGGATCTGGATACGCCGTGATATTCCATTTTTTCGAGATAATACTCATAATAGTTTGATCATGGCGATGATCACGGAATTCACGATAGTTCTTTTGACCGAGAACATTACCATCGTCAGTAATAGCTCGACTATCTTGCGCGTAGGTCAACCATTCGGAAACAAAAGCCATACTGTTAAAGCTTTTCTTGATTACTAAATACGAAGCAAGATTGCCCGATGTATCCGTATACCGCGGTTCATCAGCATTCATAAGAATAAATGTGTCTCGTTTTGCCCATGTTTTTTCCTAGAAAAGAACGAAACCAACAATCTCATTGGACCTCTGCATAGTCTTACTTGCAAGCCTGTAAGTTCAAATAGAATAATATCTTGTTGATCGGTCAATCTTGTCAGATGAGAGACATTTGCAACAAAATTCACTAAAGCATCCGAATAAACGATAATATCGCCTTCACGAGCATAATAAAGTTCTTGAAAGATTATATAGGGTTTCCATAGCCAATAACCAGCGCCACGCTTTCTATCGAGAAGGTTTCTATTCCGATAGACAAAAGTTGGATTGTTGTTGAGACTACTTTCATTATACAAAGCGCATTGTTGAATTCCGTATTGCATGCCTGTTAAACAGTTCTTTTTCTGACCCTTTCGACAACATCGATTAGCAAAGCTAACCAGAAGAGGATAGCATCGTTGCTCTACTGCATTTGTGCCATGGATAACGATTGATTGGCATGAATTCGACGGCACTCGAATTAGAGGTACGATCTGACTGGGTAATTCGGTGTTATTAAACATCATTCTTAGAGCGAGTAGGGAGAAAATGCCACCCGTTAGTAGAATACATAGGAAGCGAGGAAAAGTATTTGACAGTATACGAGACATATTACCAATGCGCACACCTATGCAGGTTACACGGCAGTAAATACCGAATTCTGAAAGAAGAGAAAAGCATTAAGCAAATGTAGATAAATTCTCCTATTCTCTGTCAAATAGACTGGAGTTAGTGTATGCTCACATATGCCTGTTGAGCAGCATGTCCTATCCAAGCAACTGCATTTGTTTGTTCACAGTTTTCTAATGAAAGGCAAATAAAATAGGGCAACTGGCAATCTTTCTAACACCTGCCGTATACGATTTATGAGGAAGAAGTAAATATCGGTGTAGTTTCATCAGCGCATACATCTCTTCCATAAAAAATCGTAACAACAATCGGATTAGTAAATTTTCAATGCGCGGATATCCTAGTAAGGCTGACGACAAGCAAAGCTCGAGTGATAGCTTTTGCTGATTTTTTAAAATGTAATCCAATGCAGTACGATGCGCTCAATCTGAATATGTATAATTTATTTGGATAAAAATGATCTTCCTACGGGAAATCGAAAAATACAGTAAATACCGAGGGTTTCAAAAACAAAGTTTACTACTACGATTTTCACGATGGGGCTTCGAAAAAATTCATTATATCTTTGAAAGTATTTTCTGTGGATTCAACATTAAGAACTGATTTTAAGGACACTACTTTTCGGGCGCTCGGTCTATTTCTTTATTATTAAAAAAAAACCGTTTCTCTGAATGCACGGACTAATCGAATCCTTTACATTGAAAATGCATCAGCTCATTTCTTCTAGTGAAGATAGACACTTTTTTAATACGGTGCGACCTTAAGGAGCATCGTATTATTGAGTTTCTTCGCGTCTTTTTGCGTCTTTTTTTATTATTATCTTTTCTCTTTCTCGACAAGGCGTCCAAAGTCCATTTTAAGCGGCCCGATCATCTAGAGAACGGAGCGTCGTTAGCCTTCCGAACAAAGGCTGTTAAGGAGCTATGACTATGTAGATGCTCATTTTTTAATTCGAATTCCACTTTTACCATTAGTTTTCCCAAAATAAAACATGGACCTAACGGTAAATCATGGCACATGCTTTTTACATTGTTAAGATAATTAAAATCGGAGTATAGGCGCCAAAAGGATAGTTTGCTTGTATTTTATGATTAGTTGATAAAACGATGATTTAATGCAGCGACATCATTATACAAGGTTTTACGCGAATCTTTTATTAAATTTTCTCCTATAAAAAGCTCTCTGTAATAGCCGAAAAATATTTCCAACGATCTCAGGAACTATCGACTTGTACACTAACTGGAAAATAAATGTTCAATAGCATACACTTCCTCCTATCTTCCCCAAAACTCGTCGCATCGTATTCTGCATTTAGGCGAAGCATGAATGCCGTCTAGTTCTTTCAGCATTCGACTTCTTGGATACCCTAGATATAATCTACGTATGCTCTTTCGTTAACTCACTTTCTTTCTCAAAATAACCTAGTCATTTGTCGAACTTTCCTATCGTTTATTTTTAACAGCATTTTGTACTTAAATTTCTTTTTCTTAATCCAGTTACATTTTCAAAATGAAAAAGGCCATTGTTGTTATTTTCTAGAGAGCCGATCTGACTACTTTTTAAAATATTGCAGATTGTGGGTGAAATCGGGTTGGTTGAGGATGGGTACAATTTCCGTGTTTCCGAAAGTTATAAAAACACCTATATATATATATCGTAGATACCCTCACCCTTTCTATCGTATTGAGTCTTGTGTCTAATAGATGTCACTTATCTTTGATACAGGCGAGGTAAAATAGATTACTAATATGATTGTTTTGTTGGATTTCGTTTTCCCCAATCGTAATTTTTCGTTCTTCAACTATAGTACTAGCATGCTTTTAACTCGATTTGATATAAACACACATGAAATTGACCTGATCGAGTGAAGTGTACTAAAGATTTAGTAAGTGAAATTTTGTGTTTAATTTATTCTTTTTATAACAGCATAAAATTGACTATCCGTTGCGAAACAAAGAATCAAATCAAACAAAAGAAAACCTCTTTACACGCATATACATCTCGTTGATTTCCATTTTTTGTTTTGCGTTTCTTTCACTGTTCGAGAAAGACTGAAAATCAAATACTTGATTGCATCGGTGGTACAAGATGAGCTTTTTTNATGACCATAACAGTGGTACACAGGTTACATCTTCCGTTCGAACGTTGAAGGAGGAGAAGGAGGAGTCATGAACGAATAAAGAGTGAAGATATACATACACGACAAACTATTCGCACACGTTCAAAGTTAGTCGACCGGAGCTTGTCTTTGTTTCGAATATCACGTCTCAATGAAAAACGAAGAGGAGGAAAAAAGCTTGTTTATTTTTCTCGAGTTTCTTTTTCTTTTGATAATTGAGTACAAGCGATCGTTAGCTCATGACGAATGTTCTATACATATCTACGTGTATGTATGTGCGTGTGTATGCGTGCGTGCGTTTGCACTGATTGCATAAATCAATAAAAATTGTCTTGCCAATGGGACAAAAGTCAGCTGGGAAGAAAAGTAAAAGGGGAGTGGTGAGAGACAATATGGCTGGCAAGATTAAACTTGTTCATATTAAAAAGAAAAGCTTTTTTTCTCTCTCTCTCTTCTAGATGGTTGTAATTCTTAATTCCAAACAAAAATGACTTCGGCACAACATTCACTATGTCAGTTCAAACACCATCTACCTGAATATCTATCAGGATTTTGCTCATCAGCAACGAATATTATTGTAACATATCCTGTAAATAAATTGATCTTTCGACAGCAAATCTACCGGTTGAGAACGCTCGATGCCTACAAACAGCTAAAATACGAAGGTTTCACAATTCTTTATCGTGGCATGGCCTTACCATTATTACAAAAGACATTCTCCTTAAGTATAATGTTTGGAACAAATTCTCATTATTTACAAATCTTTCAGTCCTTCTCGCGAACAAACCAATGGTATCATCAGCCCTTAGCATCAGCTTTAGCTGGCAGTACCGAAGCTTTGTTGACACCATTGGAACGTACACAAGTTTTACTCCAAACATCGAAATACAATCATGTCATTCGGAATGGTTTTCATGCCTTCACTTTAATGTATCAACACTATGGAATCATTGAATACTATCGTGGATTAACATTGATCTTAATTCGCAATAGTTTGTCCAATATGATTTTCTTCGCTTGTCGAAAGCCACTCAAAGATGTTTTACCCCGGTCGTCATCGCATCTTCAGCATTCTATCTATGATTTCTTCACTGGTGGTCTACTCGGTGCACTTTTATCGACATTCATCTATCCATTGAATGTTTTAAAAAATGTCCAACAATCCGAACTCGGTGGTCGATATGATCGTCCAATAAGTATCTTCCGGTCTGTTTATGAACAACGTGGTAATTCTATGAAGGAATTCTATATCGGTGCTAAATGGAACTTCGTTCGCAGTCTGATATCATGGGGAATAATCAATAGTACATATGAATATTATTTAACAACGATACGAACATCCATTTCTGACGATGATTGATATGTTCTTCCGAATAGTGAGCAATGAATGAAAATGAGTTTTTTGTATTTTTCATGTTTCGGTGTTTTTCTTTTGGAATAACAAAGATAGGCTGAATAGAAACTATTTTAAAAGAAAAATGATGACACAAAAAATTGAATAAAAAACTTTGAATTGTACGTTTCGAATAGAATTGTTCATCGGCACATTTCTATACGCGTAATTCCTTGCAATATCTTTAATCATTCGTAATTTAGTCACGTGATCATTACAATTATCAACGTTACATCTGACCAAATCGCGCGAATTTTCAAGTAGATCGCTGTTCGGTGTTGGAACGACGAATTCTATGTGAATACCCAAGTTTGTATCGGCTGCACATTCTTGTTTCAAGTCGTTCGAGTAGGCATAACAAGTTGGATATTGACTAATCCGTATTGGACATTGAACACTTTTTCCGATAGATATATCGTAACAGAAGAGAATATTTGATGGATTGTCCGTGTATACTAATGGTTTCAATGCATAATATGGATTCTTTTGCTTGCGATATTTATTGAAAAGAGTTTTCACTTCACTTACAGCACATTCATCTGTATTCTTACAATAAATATCTGCTATAAGCGTTGTTTCTTTTGTTTTAGCATCGACTATTACTTGATATTTGATTATATTCGAGAGACCGTAGGTGGCGATTTGATATTCATATTTGCGCTCGTCAGTAGCACCAATTATTCCAAATGTATAATTGAGATGTTTCGGATATGTATTATCCTTGTAATAAGCAACGATTCGCCCTTTACAGATGTCAGTGGAAGAATCGTTGAGACAATATTTGTGAATGGATGGTTCTATGGGCAATGATGAATACTTATCGTGGATAATGGCGCAGCTTTTCGAACAAAATAACGCGAAATTTGGTGAAATGATGCCAAAACAAAGAAGAACGATAAACATCTGTAAGAAAAACGAATCGTGCTCTTTTTTTGTGAGTCTAAGCAGGAGAGCATATCAATGACAACAAAAAAAGAAAGAAAATACCAACGCGTACCCATGTACGTGATCACCAGCAGCTATTTTTAAGTATATATAGACATGAAGATAACCCTCTTATCATGATGTATAAGACTCTTGCCTGAGAAAGATGACAACTTACACGGGAGAATTCGTATTTCGTTTATCTGTCGGTACAATAACGAAGGAGAGGCGTATATATAGACAATCGATCATGCATGACGTTGACGGAAGAGACACACAAACATAGATGAATTTTTATTGAAAATTAATCATGATTTCGTTCCCAACAATGTGTTCAACAGAAACAAATCAATTAAAAGATATCTCGAATACATACGAATATGTCCGAACTCATTTTAGTAGTACAAACGAAGTAATTATCTCGCGAAATTACATCGTACTTTACCTCCATCTTCGATGTTCACAAAGGAGTGTTTACCACACTACTTGTCATCGATCATATGTCAATCAGTTTTTCATCCGTTGATAATCAATTGTTTCGATATTCTAATCTGTATGTTTATATATAGACATGAAACAAAAACAATTATTCATGTTTCACGCAGACAAAACGAAAAAAAAAATTTACAAGAAATCACATGCATATAACGACAAACTCAACATTGTGTTGACGAAAAGAACGAAAACGTTCGATGTTAAATCTACGGACAAGATGCCTTCATTTGCCAGTTATATACTTCAGTTTGACTAGGAAGACCGAGACGTCTTGACACCTTGATTGACGAAGATATTGAGATGAGTCAATCACAAAGACACCTTGTTTTTGGTGTGACGCTTTTCATGTTTCGACAAATGGTCACTGCGCATAAATGCCTTTTGACAAAAGGAACAAACATGCTTCTTTTCACCAGTATGTGTTCGTCGATGACGGCTTAACTCATCCGATCTTGCGAACGTTTTATCGCAGCCAGGCCATGAGCATGAAAATGGTTTTTCGCCTAAAAAGCAAAAAGAACAGACAGTCTAATGCTTTGGTTCCTTTAATATCCTATCATGCACATAAAGCCATTAGTTTTGAGTACATCTGACCTTGACTATTCCTACAGTAAAAGGCAAATACGCCTCTGCCTATTTTTCTTTCTCTTCCTGTCCTTGATAATATGTAAATGTGGCTACGGCATAGTAACGTGATCTTCAACTACATCACTGAGGGGACACGCAAATGAAATTTACCGGTGTGCAAACGGATATGGGCTTTGAGATGCGAGGATTTGAAATATGACTTCGTACAGCCAGGATATGTACATATGTGATTTTTCTTGCGAATCGGTGTCGGCTTGGATATTAATAAATCACCGTTGGATGACGATGGTGGAACAAGAAACGCTGTTTGGGCAACAGGAACGTATTTACCATTTACGTGAACATAGAGAACATGATACTGTGATTTTGAACTTGTTGATGCTGAAGTTGGTTGACTATCGTCAGTTGATGATGAAAATGGCGATGTACAAGGAGTTGAGGAGAGCTCAGAGGAGCATTCGTCCGATGGTGATGACGATAGTGAGTTTGATCGTTTCACGGATGCTAAACTGTCGAAGGTTGGCACCGGCGTTTGCATTGGTTCACCAATATACTAAAACAGAATAGGTAGATGAAAAAAGTCAAATGATTAGTGAGTGTCTACCGGTCGAAATTTTGGATGAAGCTTCCTTGGTTTTTCTGATGTGGAACGAATTGAAAGTAATAGTTCAGCGTCCTGAACACTAGCAGATGGCTGCAAAAATATACCAGTTAATGAGATGATTTTTTAGAATTCGTCTCCACTTACATTCATTTCAGCCTTCAGAGCATTTAAACTAAATTGGCCTGTTTGTGGACACATGATTGTATCTATTCCCGGTAGGCTCTGCTTTTTAAGCGGTTGAAAACTAGCTGATGCAATGCAAGGTAACGTTTGAATCATAAGTGTAATTCTGATTTTTGTTTTATACAGATTCCGATGTATTATTAACTTTTATGTGTGTCTGAACTGTGTAAGTACACCACGCTAACGCTGCGTGATCGTGTATGTAGTCAGCCGCTGATCACGCCGCGAAGGTGTGTTACGAAGAGAAAGAGAATAGACATTAGATCCTATTCCACAGACAATCGGAACAGAACAAAACACACCCCTCCATGGAAGAAGTGTACGGAAAGAAGACGAGAGGAAGGAGCATGCGTTTACTTTATGATTCGGCAAACTGCTAACGTAACTTACTGATGATAGCAATGGATTGTCAGAGGAAGAAAAAATGCAAAAAAGATATTTTGCACTTTGACATCTAGTCTGTATCACGAGCTCAACGTACAGTTAAATTGGACTTTCGAATGAAAAGTAAAAAAAAAAAGACATCTTCATTCTCTTTATATAGTTCAGCGATCACGTTAGCGTAAATATTATGTCGCGTTCTTTTTATCCGAATATCCTTATCATAGAACGGCATAAATCGATGATTTGTCGTGTAGTAAACACATAAGAATTACACGTCCGCGCGGCACTAATAAGTTTTCTTTTTAACCGTTAGGCGGTATGTGAAAAAGAACGGCAGAACGTTCGAAATTAAAAACGTATTCACAGCGGGTCATGTGTACCGAGCTTCGGTTATTGAGTGTTTCTCGAATCCACCTGAAGTGTGCGTTTTCATATGATTCATATGTCTAATGCATTATGATAGAACTTTGGATGGTGTGATAGGAGTAAAAATAATATTAACAGACGCTATCTCTTCGGTGGTAATAACAGATGAATACTTTTCATTTTTTTCCTCTAATATTATTTTATCTGTATCAACATAATATTTAAAAAAAACTTTTTACTTGTAGTGACTTGCATTTCTCTCTTTTTACAGGCTTTATCATTATTACGCATTTTACAGTGGGAGAAAAAAAACCGTTAAAGTTTGTTTTTGTTGTAGAGAAGATGAAGTTGAGAAAGTTGGTAACGAATAGTTTGATTTTCGAATGCTAAACGAGCATTCTCTTGTTGTAAAAACATGACACGATCTTGTATTTGTTGTTCTTTCGTTCGTCGGGCATCACGAGAACGTTTTGCAGACTCATTGTTACGTGTACGTTTTTCATAATAGTTTGCATCTTTTTCGTTATCTGGAACAAGACGAGGGCGTCGTTTCGTAGGAACGACTGGAGTGCGGTTAAAACGATGATGTGCATTGTCATTATTATCGTCCAATATTTCCACTTGATTTAAGTGAGTAGCTGAGTCAGGCAACGATAAACTCAGACCAGTATTGTAATCATTCTCGGATGATATCGGTATCGAATGAGTACGTCCGTACGATAAAAATAATGGTTGCTGATCATAACACACACTGGAATGCATTATTTAACAAACAATTGTTGATAACAACTGAAAATTAAGTTGTGTATTCAAGACATTTTAATACGATAGGCAGAATGAGAGAGAGAGAGAAGGGAAAGACGCTTCTCTCTATATCAGTCTGTTCGATAACTATTGGTTCAAACGAAATATTCCCATAAATTGATTGCATAATCGTAGAACTTAATATGAAGAAAGAGAAAGCATAAAAAATGAATTGAACCGATTCAGCTGTCGTTATTGTCGATCACACTTTTTCCGATTGGAAATAATTGATTGAGTCATCCTTTATTTAGGAAAACATCAGGCTTAGACAGTCTGGTCAGATCGTTTTGTCGGTGATTTTCTCATATGGATATGTCGATAATTGCAAAGCACTCTCTCTTCCATTAGAGTTCATTTTTTCGTCGAAAATTTATTTCTCGTTGTACAAAAAGTCTTTTTTTTTAAAAATGTTATCAGCACTCATTATTCTATCTCGAAAGAATCTTGTAGTTGAATAAAAATGAGAAGAAAAAACGGTTTCGGAGGAAAATCTATTCACAACTGTACAGAAAAAAAAACGTTTCTCTTTTCACTGCGGAATAAAAGATAAGTGTGGCATTGGCGTAATCACGGTACCAGCCGAAAATGGTGTGCTTTGCGACGACGGTGAATACGGTGGATGGTTACTTCTGATCCCATAGCTAAAATGAAGAATACAGTATTGATAAGAGACTTTCAAAGGTTTTTTACTTGAAATGAGTACGATGTATGTTGTTTTCATCCGATGGTTCTTTGCAGATTTTACTGATTTCAGCGCGTCTAATATGTAACTGATCACGTGTTAATTTGATCGGCGATGGCGGTGTCAGGGTTGGTAGTGTTAAGCTGATTGTTCGGTTTGATTGAATTGATTGATCGAAATAACTGTTGTTTGTATTACTTAATATTGTATTGCGTAGACAAGTAATAATTTCTCCATCGGCTAGCATTCGACCATGTGGGGATTTATGTTCATGTGCACGTAGATATCGATAAACATTGATATTACCTTCATCAGTTTGACATTTCAGTAATATACAAATACGAGTACCATCTCTACCATACTAAACAATCGATGTGACAAATAAATTCAATGGAAACTGAGCTTACAACAGTAGCACGTAAACGTTTGTTTAAAACAAGTTGTTTAAATGTTAAACGTATTGTATCAGAAAAGGTGGGTTTGACTGCTTCACTAAAAATACATTCCACAGCCTAATAGCAGATAAACAATGCTGAATACAAAGAAGATATTTGTTACTTTAAAGGGAAATAAATAAAATTGTTCAGGTAACCATTTCAACTGCGAAACATTGACATATAATGATGAACCGTAATCAACAAGTCGTACACGAGCGCTTGGTTGTGTCGTAATCGTTGGTCCTTCACTTTTCGATACAATCAATGCTCGATGCCACGATGTTTCATAATGTAAGGCAACTAACTGACCGACATAAACTTGTTTGAGAGATTCGTAACTAACAGCAACTAAGGAGAGTATTTCAATAAATTGACGAAATTTACGTTCATTTCCAGAAGATAATTCTCGTTCAACCCAAAATTCACCGTCACTAGTTAAAATGTCTTTCACTGTGCAATAAAACTTCGCACCTAAATTTTCGAATGTGTCGCCATCGCATATTAACCTGAGGAAAGACAATACCTTTTGTAAATCGAAATGGTTCACCATCGAGAATACATAGATCAGGTAGACGCTGTTCGATTAATAATTGAAGATCTTCGATGATATCGTTATGACCAATTGGACTCGATTGATTTTGCTCGTAATTCCTAATATGAAAGGAATTTCTAAAGATAGATTTTGTTATTCTACGTACGGTGTATACGTAGTCGGCTCAATAGATGAAGTATATGACGAGGTTGATTGAGGTAACATTGGAGAAACGATTCGTTTTGGTAATGCTTGTTGAGATAGTTCGTAGTGTTGCCATTGAAGTCGAGAACTGCTGGTAGTAATTGGAGAATCATTCGAGACGTTTAAGATTTTGCTTGTTGTAAATTTACGAGTCTTTTCATCAAATTTCGATACCGTTGAACGATCTTCGTTGATAGATAAAACATCTTTTTTCACATCACCAGCCATTGTAGCAAGAAAATCTACAAATTTGCGAAAGAAAAATTACTACTAGTTGACAGAATTATACAAACAAAGACACGAAATTCTTTGTGTCTACGTAGATTTATTGGTCGAAGTGGAAACGTGCACTGTACATATATATCTTCTTTCGATTCTGTGTTCGATACATAGCAGAGTAGACGTTAACTATATTTACTGTGATGAGTCATACATTTTATCCGAACGAACATGATATCTTGAGGGTGTGGGAGAAGGTAAGACACATTTTCAAATCATAAGAATGGTACGTTAAAGAAGTGTTTTAGCTTTTCTTTCACTCTAATTCAGCATAATAATGTAGAACACGAATATTTTCTTTCGACATCGTCAGAATGAAAAATGTCAACTAATTGATTTTTTTGTCGGTCACAAATACTAACACAACATGTTTTCCATCTTTCGTATTCAAACCTCAAATAAGCTTACTTCATTTTTTCTCATACAATCTTCCTACTAGCGATAGTAGTCATCGTCAGATATAGAAATCTTCAATCAATCTTCAAGTAAACTAGGAAAGCTTTGTCAATTTTTTTGATATTCTCACAACATAAAAAGTTGTTTTATCTGTTTCTTTAACTTCATTGGTTTAAATTTCATATGCACTAGTTGCATGCATATCTCTCTTTCTTTCTTTCTTTTTTCTGTTTCTATACTCTTACCACGTCCACGACGATAGAGGTTCACTGCATGACAACATTTTCTCGTTAGAATTCGATCATGGCGACTCAGAAAAGAATCATAATGCCTTCCAACTCCAATACTAGCACTGCTTATCCACCTGAAACTTGTGATACTCGCCTTTATTTGAAAGAGCATCCATTCTTAGCGGCACTTCTCCCGAAAACAGGAGTTCTATTCGAATGTGATGGTGATGCACCCTCACCATCGAAAGATTACGGTCAATTGCAAATCAGTATAGATAAAGTAGGAACCTTACGTCGACACAGTAGACATTCGCAGGAAAATTCGTTTAGATTATTCTTCGTTGGTGGAAAATAACTCTTCGTAACATTGAAGGTGCGATTTATCCGGGTGAAATAAAAACTTCTTTTGAAGATTTCTATCACGATGAACTTGCTCAACGAGAAATAAGTCGAATCTTCGGTCAGAAAACGCTCGAGTATTGTTTAAATCTCGTCTGTGGTCGATTTGATTGGCTCTCACGTTTACCATTGGCTGTTCAAATAAAAATCTTTTCGTACCTTAATCTCGACGATATTCCTCAAGTATCTTTGGTATCGAAATTATTTCGGACGATTTGTCGACACAATGATCTTTGGAAGATCTTCTACATTCATCAACATGGTCGACAAACGTTAGAAAATAAGAATTTATTACAATTAGCTGATAAACGCGGCTGGCGTCATGTGTTCTTTACAAATCGTTTGAAACTACAAATTGAATTGCGTCGAGAAGCTCAACTAGAACGGTATCATCCTGAAGATCCATCTGATTTAGTCAAAGCTCGTGAACGACGAAAACAGCTACAGCCAAGTCCACCTGTGACACCTCGAGAGCAAACCATCGTGCGACGACATTCGTCACGAAAGGAACCCTTACCACTTCGAATAGGATCCGCACGAGCCGATGTCGATAGTCGAACTAGCTCACAGACAGAACATTGATCGTTTAATCAAATTTGTTTTTCTTTGTAAATCTTTTGCAATATGATATAATCGATGAAATAGTTCGGACGGTAAAATAAGATGTTTCCGAGCTCAATTCTAACTCATTTTCCGACTGTCAGAATGTAAAGTGGCGAATAATAAATCGAGCAAATCGGACGTCGTAGTTTTATCGCAAAAGAGAAAAAAAATACGCCAGGTATCTCACTCCAATGAAAAAAAAGAGGAAAATATTTGAGATTAAGTGTGTATACTTTACATAAAAAGCACGTGGTAACGAAAACATTGCGTTTCTTTTACACGAAAAAGCCAACAAAATCTATCATATGAATAAAAGCCCAGGTAGGTAAAACAGCAAGCGCACTCCGTGAGATTTTATTTCGTTACAAAATGATTTCACAAAAGTTCGGCGATGTTTTTACATTCGAATAAATTTCACCAAGGCGACTTCTAGTGATATCTTTTTCATATGGCCGAAACCGATTCTTTTTCAAATTTAGGTACTTTAGTGTTGTGATATTATAGAATTCGTTTGGGAGACCGCTGAGTTGATTATATTTAAGATTCAGCCGTGAAAGGTTTCGAACTTGTTTAATTGTTTTGGAAATCGAACGAATAGAATTTTCAAGAAAATGAAACCTTTTTGGCTTGTTGTTTCTAACCCCTAACGTTTCAATACCATCCAGATGAGTTAAATTAGAAGAGATTATATGAAGATCAACTAAGTTGGATAAGTTAGCAGGTAGGCGAGGCATTGGACAAGATGTGATAACTAAAGTTGTGAGAACAGGGGAATTGTCGATCGATTGCAAGAAGTCAAGAAACAGATTGTTCTTTAAGGTAAGAGATTCGAGATTTTGGAGTCCTGCCGGTAGACGTCTCAAAGTACTGTTCGTTATGGATAAGAACTTCAATGCAGGCAGGTTTCTGATTGTGTTAGGCAGTGAAACCAATGGAACATTAGTGAAAGATAAAAGTTGTAACCGAGTTAATATACTGATTCCTCTCGATAGGTGTTTAATATTCATATTCGATAGTTGTAAATCGACTAATGATGATGGTAGATATTCTATCTCGAAGATAGACTCGCTTGCTAAGTTGCATAAAGATGTGTTGCTGATTACCAGTTTCTGCAGATGTTGAAAACATGAGATGAACTTCGGAATACATGTTTTGTCTGCAATGTGTAGTTCAGTAATAGTTGAGTTTTCACCTTCGATAGCGTATGTTGTAAGCAAATCTGCTGTTGATTGTTTCCAAAGAATATCAAAAGGAAATTTGTCACGTATTTTAAACTCAGTTCCAAAGTCAGAACAGTTTATCAACGCGTGCGTTGATTGGATAACAATCCATAACATAAATAAGCACGATGAGAACGTCATCGAATGCATCTGAAGAGAATATTTCGTTCGTTAATAAAGAGTTGAGCTCAAAAGCTAGGTCCTTGGAAATTTCCAAGAGAAAAGAAAGGTATGTGTAGGAGTGATTCCGACAAGGTGTAGTCATGAATCATCAAATTTCACCATCAGAAAGCTTTCACAGAGGCCGAAGTTTAAGTCAAATAGTCTTTGCCTACAAGTAAACCATTATACGAACAAAATGATACTAGTGTTAGAGCAAGAACAAATATATTCTCATAAAGATTCATCACGCATTGCATGCGTGCAGAAGCAATATTAACATGATCACGACATAACATCGAAATGTCGAATAAAGCGCTAACGAAAGGGGCATGCATGGTCCCACCCTATACGAGCCTCCCAATACGTAGTATAAAACTTGATTTCATTTAGTTGGAAGAAGAAAGATCAAAGTACAAGCAAGAAGTTTTTTGCTTTCTTCGTTGCCTATAGGTTGTCATACGACACGTGATCATATATCCGATTGAATTACGTCATTTTATTATTCACACACCAACAATAAAACAAAAGTGAAAAAAAAATTAAACATTAAAATATTAAGCGTCTATTGTTGTGTTGATCATATTCGTCTTGATTTCGTTTATCGTTTCGTTCTTAAAATTGTTATTCCGAATCCATAGATGTTTCAATGTCTTTACTTGATAAATATCCATCGGCAGAACATCCAGTTTGTTGTAGTCGAGATTGAGATAGCACAACTTCTTCACGTTTCGAATAAACGGTGTTAGATAACGAATCGAATTTTTGCTAAAGTCAAAGTTCTTTCGTTCGTCTGTCCCATTGCCCAGTGTACCAATTTTAGAAACATCGTGAATCTTGTTGTTTCGCACGTATAGATTCACTAGTTTCGGTAAATCCGTTGGAATCTCTTCTATCGAACAGTTATCTGCTGATAACGTCACCAAGTATGGATGTCCATTAAGACTTTGAATTGATTGAATTCGTTTGTTATCGTTTATGTCGAAGGTAGTTAAACGAGAATTCTTAATGATAGTTGACGGAATCGACGATAAACTATTGTTGGATAACCGCAAGGTCTCCAACGATGACAATTCGCCAATTAAATCTGACACACTTTGTAAATCTGCACTGGTTATTTCAAGAGATTTGAGACGTCGAAATTTTCCTATTGTGTAGGGCAGCTCATTGAACGATGTGTTTTTGATAACTAAATGGACTAATGATGAGGAGAGTTGTCTGACAAACATCGGCACGTAAAAATAGAAAGTTGGAAATGTTGTACCTTCCACATGCAATGAATGTAGACGAGTCAAACATGATATGCTTAGTGGAAGATATTGTTCATTAATAATGTTGATTGATTTAATGTTGCCGTATTCATCCGTTTTGGCGGATGTTTTGGTTGATGAAAACGATGTAAAGTTAAGTTTAAATGGGAATGTTTGATTAACCAAGCCAATATCTGAATATGAAGGACAATTTGGTACGAGACGGTGATGACGAATGTTTTGGATCTCTAAAAGATAAAGAAGAAGATAAGAGCACATAATATGAACAAGTATTGCTCAATTACTTGATGCTGATGGACTTAAGTCTCGAAGAGAAACACATTGCATTAAAATTAGACAACTGAACAATGTTAACAATATTAAAGGCTTCATTTTATATCTAAAATTTAATTCATTTCATCATCGTATTTATACATTCAAGTTCCCCAGTAAACAATGACTAACTAATGTGTTAGAAGAGTGATTCGTCGTGGCAAAAAGTAGTGTGTCGCACTTGGGAAGATGATTTCATGATTATGATGGAATTGCTTCAAGAAAAAAGGATCGATAACTATCCTAATGAACTGTGGTCGCTTTTCTAATACTGAATTATATAGATATCGTCGGAGTCTGATATACTTCACACAGACAGGAAACGAAAAATGTTCTGGCTTTTCGTTCGCGGGCGACGAACCAATAAATACATCGATTATTAATCGTCATCGTGATCGAAAAGAAATAATTGTGTAATTTCAGTGCAAAACATGGAAATAGTATAAATTCCTTGAAATAACCTTAGGTTCTATGTGTCACAACGTACACAAGCGGTTTTTTCCCGGCGTAAAAACGTGCTTTTAAAGTAATGTCATTTATGACTACTTTAATTGCTTACCAAGTTGTACAGGTATATGACAAATTAACACATATGTAATGAGTCACATATCTCATTCGATTTTTCAAAAGAATATTCTAGTTTTGTGTTATTGAGAAAGAACAGTAGAACTAGAGTCGTATGTATAGTTCCCATAGAGAAGTTTAAATGTGGATACTATCGAAAACGAAACAGTCGTCCGTGTGCTGAAAGGTTTCAATCTCAAAGCAACTTGCGGAAAGAACGGCAAACAGCACTTTTTTATTTTAATAGAAAAGAAACGAACGAAAAAGCATTATCCTATTCGAAACTGAATCTCACTCGAGATAGTTCATAATGAGGTGCAAATTTTCTGCTGGAAGTATTCAACGCCTACTATCGTACTTGAACTCATTTGTAATATACATGAAATAACGTTCAACATGTATTCCGTTAAATTAGAAAAATATCAATACATACAGTTGATTAGACTTTACCTAAACATCTATATTGCCATTGTCATTTATTCTCTAAATGCTAGTAGCTATTTGCGTGATCTAATGACAAAACGTGCCTTTGCATACGCTTTGACATACAGTGTCTCCTTATGACTCATGATTCTTGTTAGATCTGTTTTAAGAACGTGAACAAGGTTTATTGGTAATCACGAACAGCGAGTGAAAGCCTGTAAACAAGGCGCACACACAAGCTAGTATGATCAGCAGATATTTTCAATGTCATTATATTGAAAAATTCCTGTACTGTTACATATATATATATACATGACTCATAGAAAAAAGCCAATGACACACATATCGAGACTAGCAGAACGAACAAAACATGTGTGTATGTCACAAATCAATCTAAGATTTGGACAAAGTCAAATTGAGATCTCATTTTGATCCTGAAGTTATTTTCGATCCTGACGAAACTTGTATTCATAGATAAAAATACCTATAATTTTTAAACAGATACCTTCACTCCGTACGCAACGGGTCAGATAATAAATACATCCATCTTGAAGGTTACACACGTCAATTTCGATAAAACTGTTTATTATTGCCCAAATACTGACTTGTAATACATTCTGAACATATTTTCTTTTATTATTCTAAGAATCATTTCATTATGACGCTGAAAATACTAACTTATGATTTCTTTCTTTATTCTAGGAAGCGTATCGAATAGACAATTTTCATCTCAATAGTTAACTGGATTTGTTTATTTCAAAAGGTTAATATTTTACTGCATAGTCCGTAGTGATGTGTTTCTTTTACGAGTAATAATCGCAGGCGGCCGAACGTCTTTATTTAAATAGCATAACGTGCGTACTTGCCAATTTATTACATAACCGGTCATCGTTATAATTCAATATTTGTATGAAAAAAAAAGGCACGAAATGAAAGCTTTCCAATCATGTATAGGTAGAAGCGATAATCAATATATATTCCTAACAAGTGAATTGTCCAATTGTCTACTATCGACAAGAAAATCGTTATACAAAAAAATGATTTTATGCAAGTTTTTAAAGATGCAATTACATCAAGCGTCTATTGTTGTGTTGATCATATTCGTCTTGATTTCGTTTATCGTTTCGTTCTTAAAATTGTTATTCCGAATCCATAGATGTTTCAATGTCTTTACTTGATAAATATCCATCGGCAGAACATCCAGTTTGTTGTAGTCGACATTGAGATAGTACAAATTCTTCACGTGTCGAATAAACGGGGTTAGATAACGAATCGAATTTTTGCGAAAGTTAAAGTTCTTTCGTTCGTCTGTCCCATTACCTAGTGTACCAATTTTAGAAACGTCGTGAATCTTGTTGTTTTGCATGTATAGATTCACTAGTTTCGGTAAATCCGTTGGAATCTCTTCTATCGAACAGTTATCTGCTGATAACGTCACCAAGTATGGATGTCCATTAAGACTTTGAATTGATCGAAGTTTTTTGTTATTGCTTATGTCGAAGGTAGTTAAACGAGAATTCTTAATGATAGTTGACGGAATCGACGATAAACTATTGTTGGATAACCGCAAGATTTCCAACGATGACAATTCGCCAATTAAGTCTGACACACTTTGTAAATCTGCACTGGTTATTTCAAGAGATTTAAGACGTTGAAATTTCCCTATTGTGTAGGGCAGTTCATTGAACGATGTGTTTTTGATAACTAAATGGACTAATGATGAGGAGAGATGTTTGACAAACATCGGCACGTAAAAATAGAAACTTGGAAATGTTGTACCTTCCACACGCAATGAATGTAGACGAGTAAAACATGATATGCTTAGTGGAAGATATTGTTCATTAATAATGTTGATTGATATAATGTTGCCGTATTCATCCGTTTTGGCGGATGTTTTGGTTGATGAAAACGATTTAAAATCAACTTTAAATGGGAATGTTTTTTTAACTAAGTCAACATCAGAATATGAAGGACAATTTGGTAGGAGGTGGTCACGAAGAATGTTTTGGATCTCTAAAAGATAAAGAAGAAGATAAGAGCACATAATATGAGCAAGTATTGCTGAATTACCTAGTGCTGATTCGTAAAAATCTTCAACAGGAAAACATTGAGCTTGGATCAAGCAGTTGAATAACAAAAATAGTCCTAAGAGCATGGTCATATATCTAAAATATATTTTATTTTAATGTGTCTTATATACTAATGCTTGCATTTTCCCCAGTAGGGTGACTAATTTTTGAAAAAAGAGTGAAAAAGTTGTTCGTCATGGCGAATAGTAGTGTGTCGTGTTCGACAAGGTAATTTCATTATTATGACGGAATTGCTTGAGAGAAAAAAGGAGTTATTGTTACTCTTCTAATGAGTTGTTACTATTTTTTCGATACTGATTTATTCCACTCTAAGCAAATCGACATTTTGAGAATGTAATAGATTTGACACAGAAAGAACGAAAAAAATTTCTTGGTATTCGACTGCACTCAATCGATGTGTCAACTATTATTGACAAATAGTGATGTAATATGAATGAAAAATAACAAGATATCATTGAAAATATCACCTATTGCTGAGAAGAACGTTATGTCTTATATGTCACAATGCACATAAGTAGTTATTTTTCCAACCAACAATGCACTCTCATGGAGTCATTTATGACAAACTAAGTCGTTTACCAACTTGCAGTGGCTTTTTTTAATATCAAATGAGTATCTGTGTGTCATGGGCAACGAACTTCATTGGGCTTGTAAAAAAGAATATTCTAGATGTGTGAATAATTGAAAAAGAAAAGTTAATCTACTGGCGTTGGTAGGATTGGTAAATAAATGCCTCAATTTGAATAATAACGAAAAAATAACAGTCGCTGATATGTACCATGACCGTCGTTGACACACTGAAAGGTTTCAGTTACAACGAAACGAGCAAAAATAACCGCACACGATGTTCTTTTTATATAAGAGTGTAAGGAATGAATCTCATGAGAGACATAATTGATGATTTCGCATCGATTGCCGTTTCGGAGCATGAAATGAAAATCTATAGTTTGATTCATTTGTAATATTCATCAGATGGTGCCCAATGTGTATTCCGATAGATTGAAGATATCAAAATAAATACACGATCGAATCATATATCGTCACGCATATGCTCACTTTGATTCATTCTCTGGATAATGATAATTCTTTTACGTCATCTAATGACTAACCGTGTGTTTTGGATACGATTCGACGACATCAAGTATAATTTCATGACTCATGATCATGCATACACATTGCGAAAAAAGCTCTTATTGATGGTCCGTTCTAGAATTTTGTTCTGAAGATTTGCGATGATAATGTGTGGATATGTATAATACTACACTAAAGGAGATTGATTTTCAAAATCGAACAGATGTTGATTGAAATCTACTGAAAAGATGTGAGCCAGCTCGTTGAAATGGTTAAAACTCAATCTTTATACATATTTCTCATTTATACGGTTTGCACTCAATGACGCACTGTGTAATACACATATTCCTATTCAGTCACACAGTCAATCATACGAGTTGATTTCGACATCTGAGTTCGTGTTTAATCAGACTGCATCATATATGATCTACAATATCTGTATTTTAGTACAAGTGTGACATAAATTTATTTAAAAATATACAGCGAAAATAAAATCTTCAACTAATCGCAATTGATCGATTGCGGTCATCGAGCATGCCGATCTCGTGTTGTCGATTCGGAGCAAATGATAGCGAATCCTCTCTGGATATATCTATGGGTCCGTAGATATAACTTATTTCCCTAATAGTTTACTGTTCTTCAAGGGTGTGGGATTCTTTGACGTTTGTAGATTAATGTCAACGCTGGATTTGAATACTTAAAGTGATAAACAATTTTTTTTAACTGGCTTGAATTGAAGTAATTGTTTTCCATGGAGAAGAAGTGAAGATTGTTCATCCGAAAGATATCAATGGGTAGTGTCTTCAATCGATTGTTGTTTAAATCGAGAGAGTAGAGATTGCCGACGGAGCGAATTTGTGGATGAATGAAATCGATTTGATTATTGTTGAAATAGAAGTAAATTTTTGTGTCGCTTTTATAACCTAATGTGTCAATGTTGACGAGATTCGTTAGTTTATTATTTGCCATGTATAGATCAGTTAATTTAGGTAAATTCACTGGTAGTTTGTCGATGGAACAGTTCTCGGCGATGATCACTTGAAGAAAAGGATGATCTTTGAATGAATCGAGAGAAGTCAGATTTGGATTATGACTTATATCAACTTGTCGTAAGGAGAGGTTGTTAACGATTGTTTTCGGTAATGCTGTTAACATATTCCATGATAAGTTGATGTAATTCAATGCCGGTAGATCACCGATTGATTCAGGAAGCGTCCGAAGACCCGTGCGAACTAGCTCCAGTGATTGGAGACGTGGCAACTGACCAACTTCTTCAGCTACATCCGTGATAGGCGTATCGAATACTCCAAAAGAGGTTAATGTCGGTGCCAAAAATTTGATTTCAGCTGGAATTCGCCCATCAGGAAAGCTGGTCTTGTGTACATATAGCTCTTTTAAGTGATTAAAACAGAAAATGATCGGAGAGACCGTTTGCTCGTTGGCAATGTTCAGATAATATAGTTTGTCACCGTCCCAAAGGCTGTATGTACTTTGTGCGGACTTCCCCAGCGAAGGATTCGGATCAGCTCGGAATGATAGATTTAAGAAAACGTCATTATCACTATTAAATTTTGAGCAGTCCAGTTTAGCATTAGATCGCGAGGAATCTACAACAAGAAAAGCGAATGTATGATTTCTTTCGTAAGAATTTGTCAAGATCTTGCCTGATCGAAGCGCACCAGCATTTGCAAAGCCACAACTGAGAAATAATAAATAAATAACTTTGAAAAGATACATTTGCGAAAAGAGCACCATTGTCTTGCGTGATTGTTTGTTTCTACTATTCTAGTGTGTGCATGGGAAGCTAGAGATTTATATAAAAAGTGTGCCTAGTCATCCATTACATCCTCCCCGCGCTAAAGATGCGCGTAAGAGCGCGTCATCGTTAGGCTTATATGATGAAATACACTCGATTAGCAGCATGTAAAATATACACTTATACCAATTAGCGTATCTGAAAAGGAAGTATGCTTCATTGCGTGCAAGTTTGATTCGTTGTACTAAAGTTGGCTCTTTCACTATATTGATTGGTATTTAGCAAGTATTCGCATTCAATTGCGACAATAGATCATGATTCAATTAAAATGAGGGAAGTAGATCGTATCTGACGCAAATACTTATGAATAATGCTCGATTCGTACGTGCATTTTCATCGATAATTATGTCGAAAACCTTCCCTACTGTTCGATGGATTGTACACCATACAATTATGGGAGGTAGAACAAAGAAGTAAATATAAGAAGAGGTTAACTTGAATTCAAGGTAAATAAAACATTCTTTTCCATGATTGTTTAGTTATTTTTGACGAACGATACGCGTCGTTTTCCACTTTACATGTGGTTCTTTTAATTAGCGATCAATCGCGAGATATACATACTGAAATGAAAACGGAATTGGCCTTTCTATCAATCGCTTATTCTCACGTTTGGTGTACAGGTAATATACTACCTTGGAGTATTCAGTCAGACCGATAACATCTGATCCTTATCGTATATCTTCGTACAGTAAAAGTACATAAAATGTTTCCAAGATAAAAAAAATGATTAATTTCTTTGCATCATTGAATACAGATAATAGTTGCGGGATTTTTGCGTTGGTATTCATCGGACAATGTGACCTCTTTGGTTATTCCTACAATTTTACTGGATCTTTGATTGCTGTAAAGGTTTTGTTTTGTATACTTGCCCATAACGAATTCATTCTTAGGAATTTCACTGAGGATATGAGTTTGTTTCATCAACTCACAGACTATTACTTACTAGAAGGTGTGAAAAACTTGATCACGAGTGTCAAATCAGCAAGACTATCTCAATTCCTAGTTTAATGAACAAAAACGTATCTCTGGAAATCAAAAACATGATACTCCTTCGAAAACCTTGTAGCTGCCGTGTTCACTATTTGACATTGAAACATCTATCGACCATTACTTTTCTAAACATGTCCAACACGATTTCAAGAACGTTTGAAGTACTGTGTGCACTCTTTCCGATCATTTAATCGATCGATTTCCATCAAAAATATTATTGTGCACACAAGTTAAGAAATTTTTCAATGCAGTTTTTTCACTCTTCTCTACTGAATCTTATCATTTGTTTCATCTTGATAGGAAATATTATATATAGGACAGGTCATGTTGAATCACTAAAATGTTTTTAATCAAAAACAAAAATGAAGGAATAGGTACTGGTCTTTTTAAATCGATATTCTCTGTCTAAAATAACGAACAATAAAACAACAAGATGAATAACAGAAAAGCGCGTATGATAGTCAAAACTTTAGTTAAATCAATTGTTTAACCAAGAATTTTCGATCGTTCACGATAAGCAGCCCACCAGACAAGTCCAAAAGTACAAACAGCAAAGAATTCACTGGGTAACCATGGACCATAGCTTACACCCTAGAAAGACGATCGTCAAGATTGAACATAAACAAACAGAAGAAATTCTTACGGGATGATTTAATTCAACTTGACCGAATGGTTTGACAGCTTTGGTTGCGTCTTCTGTACGAGCCTAGAACATCAAATTCATTTCATCTCGCGCTCATCCATATCGATATTCTTACTTTACGGAGAGCAGAGTACGAATCATCATCGTACAATTTTATTTTTGTACGTCCTGATGCTAGTTCTTTGTGTGTGTTGGCTGCGACACCAATCTTTAAAATGAAACCCCTTGGTATTTACTCTGATAATTAGATAGAATTGCTTACGAAGTATTTTCCAGGAGCTGCTGGTGTTTGTGCACATGGAACGACTTGACCATTGATATCTGCGTAGAGTGTTCCTGGCTGAAAATGTAAAATTTATGTAGAAAAAAAGTAACGAAGTCGGTTTATCGATTGAACATACTTGTTTTCCGTTCTTACACTTAACAGTGATTTCTAGTTGAGCTGCTGATTCAGCTGTTAAACGTGCATCTCTTGTGGAGTGTGAATTGACTTTGAATTCTGGTGATTCGCAGGTTTCACCTGAATTTATCAAAGAAAACGACTACATTTTCCGAAATACAAATGGAATGAACTGATTCTACCGTTAACTAAAGCGATTATGGCGAGAGCAGCTAACACTACACGAAACATTTTGTATAAGTGACGATCCGATCCGATCAACGACACAACGGCTGACGTGTAAACGTATATCGATAGCTGTTTAGCTTTCACTGATTGGTCGACACGAAAGTGAACAATAGATGGCAAAATAACTTGTTTCAAGTGTGAAATTTCGATTTTTTTCAACATTAAAATAGAAATTTAAATTAAAGAAGTTTTTTTAATTAATTTTTTTCTGATTGGTGGCCATCGACCAATCGATAAACCCCACAGACTTAAAATAAAAAAGTGAATGAATTCACATTTTTTTTGTTCCTTCAACAAACGAATACGATGAATATTATCGTTCAATGTTCACTTTTAATCGTTTTATTTGACTCTGTATTAACTCAACAAGATGCTGTTACGTGTAGTTCAACATTTAAATTAGTAAATCAACAATCGGGTGATAGACTGCATTCGCACGAAGTTAAATACGGTTCTGGTAGTGGCCAACAGGTAGATTCGATTATATTTCTTCGCTCTTCAAACTTTTCTTCGCTCTAGTCTGTGACAGGCTCACCGAATGCAGATGATGTGAACAGTTATTGGCAAGTTCAGGGTGAAAACTGTGAGCGAGGGTATGTCAATAGAAAAGAAGTTCAAACTATATAATTAGTTTCATGTCCAATAGAGTACCGATAAAGTGCGACAGTATTGTGCGGTTGATTCATATCGCAACAAGAAGATATTTACATAGTCATGATTTTACTTCCCCGTTATCACATAACCAAGAAGTATCGGCATTCGGTGAGAACGGAGTTAGTGATGAAGGCGATCGGTGGAAGGTCGTGTGCACAAGTCGAAACGATTATTGGTTAAGAAAAGATGGAATTCGATTGCAACATGTTACTACTGGAAAGTAAGACTTTATCAATCGAGAGAACATTGTCACTTCGAGGTCAATTAGTTGACTCACTCCGGAATATTGCATTAAAAAGTTTTTTTTTTTGCATAAAATGTCACTTTCTCGTTTAGGTACCTTCATTTAACTGGTGATACTTACGGTCGACCAATTCAGGGTCAAAAAGAGATTTCTTGTTATTCTTATGCTAATAGTCAAAATGTTTGGAAAGTCGATGCCGGCGTTTATATTCGTACGTCTTCGGAATCGGTCTCACCCACTCGTGATGATCAATCCAATTCACATTTTCAATCGACATCTGCTGATCATTTCGATGATGAACTTTAAATACACATCTTTTCTAAATTAATTGTTTTTCGTTTCACATCTAGGTTAAATTGCTCCTTTCTTTTTGCTCTTGCTTAATTAGCAGAAAGAAGAAGGACAACAACGAAATATTCTCTTTTCTTCTCTTTCCTCGATTGTGTATGTCCGATGACATTTTTGCCTTCACATTCATTGTTTATTTAAGATTTAATCTAAGTATTACTTCGTCTTTCCTCTTTTCTCTCATGTTAAATCTATAGACATATCATAAAGTCATTCTAGATTTGTTTGTATGTGATCGTATATTCAAAGAACAAATCATTTCTCCAATGCCATCGTTGTTCGGTAAAAGTCATCTTTATCGGTACGATATCCAAGGTGGTGCCAAAAGTCATTATCTAGTTTTTGTACATTTGCCCTGTCTATCAACACATCTGAAGCATCTTTATCAGCCATCATTAATCCCATTCAATGAGTATGAACAAGAAACAATCGAATGTTTAATGAATCACAATAGTCTGACAAATGATTGTATAAATTATCTATTCCAACGACTGCATATACGTGATGAGAAACTCTCCACTTGTTTTGCATTGTCTTATTTTAATAAGATTAATAACCAGTCTTATTGGCTCGATCCAAGTCTACCAATGAAACAACAATTACCCAAATCGGAAACGAAACCAAATTTATCATTTTCGATTCTACTCTATCCACCGGTGCCTTATGGAATTACAGATGAAAAAGCTCAGTAAGAACGAGATCATTGTCATGAACGATTTCATTGTGAAATTTGAATTTAAGGCGAATTCTATATCAACAACTTTTTTGTAATTTTATTTCGTCGATGTATACAATTCCAACCGATCTCATTGAAACGCTAGCCGCTTATTTTCTTCGAGGTAGAACTTGTCGTTGTGAACAAAACAAAGTATTACTGAATTTGTATTCAAGGTTGTTTTGACAATAAGTTTGATGCGGATAAAAATCGAGATATTCTTCGATTGATTATCACTGCAGTAAGACAGACGCACATGTTTATTAATGGTTTTTATAAATGGATTTTGTAGGTTGGTCTTTCTGAAGAAAATACGGATGCAATGAAGGAAAAAATTGTGAAATTGTATCGAGATTTGCATGGAATTGACAAGCGATCAGCACAAAATCAATTTGTACATCAAATATCACAATCACCGACTTATGGAATGACGCATCTTGAAGTTAAAGTATGCATAAATCGCGCGATCTTTCTTCTATTTTCTATGCTCGTCTTTCCAATAGAATACTTTGAATGAAGCGATCCATCTCGGGCTCAATCACAATGGTATTCATTCTCGCTCATTACTACGTAATGAATTCAAACTGGAAGTTTGGTAAGTTAACATTCGAATGTCGTCTTTTTGTGTATCAGTTACTCTTTATATTAGTTGGCAAAATATTCTATCAATTTCATCGAATAAACAACGTCAGATAACGATGACGGCAAGGAATGGTAGTACGAACGTTAAGACACTCATCTATTACACAGATTCAACCAACTATAATCGTTATTGTCTACGTTTACTTCATCTATTTTCAAATTATTTCTCGAAATATTCACACAGCCAATCCGAGTAAAACGCGAACATGTTAATAAGGGTTTTCATATAATTCAGCATCTGTTTAGGAACATTCCCAAATTGCCAACGCCAGTGATCAAGAAACCGAAAATGACTCATGGAATCAGTGTTCCAGATCTTCGTTCGGATGGTGAATCGTTAAGTAATGATCGTACATCGCCATCCGCGTGCTCGTCAACACGTTCATCGAACAACAGTTCGAGTATTTGGACAGGTAGTTTACCAAATTTAACTGTACAATTATCTACGCAGCAACAAGCGAACGAGAAAGCAAAGAACAAAACAGATCCATATGCAACATTCGCAGAAAATTTGAATCATATCGAAGAACAAGAAACCATCTCACCTATTCCAATCAAGGTAAATATTGCTGAGTTCGTATTTCTAATCGTTCAAATTCATATTGAGAAAAAAAATATCGAATTAATAAGGAAGAACTTGTGCGAGATTCTAAGTAGTGAATAATCTTCATTAAACTATTACTATTGTCTTGTTCAAATATTGACATAATGTATTATGACGCAAGCGAAAGATACAACTCAATCATAAGTTCATTTACTTGTTTTAGAAAGCATCATCATCGCCTCGACACTCGCTGCCAGTTTCATATCAATCACAATCACCGATGCTCAAAAAGGTAGAATGTCTCTTCGTTTTTCAAGCTTAATGCTTTCACCTCCTCCTTCGTCTTGGTTTCTTAATCCTAATCTCTCCTCTTTTTGGCTAGTTATCTCATCGTTCTTTGCTTACATCTACTACCAGTCTTGGTCTATCATGTTCTCTTGCTACATATAATAAATCCTCTATATCACCATCGATTATAAATGTCTCTAAAATATCTTCGTCAATTAATCTTTCACCATGTTTCTCGTGTGAATGTCTTCATCGTAGTGGTGATCAAGTAAGTCGTCTACCTGTGCTGCATGAAAAAAATATACGCATGCAACGTTTGATTCATTCTTTTCTTCCTTCAATTCGTTTGTTCTTCATATATATATACATACTCGAAACCATGTCATTGATATGACATTTATGTTATGATTTACCTTGTTATATGACGCTTTCGTTGAGGCCTTTTGCTGTCTGCATGTAAATGAGTGGAACTATTGTTGAAGCATGTGCATGAGATCTAGTTGAATTCAGTATAATTCTCATCTACGTTCTCTCCTTAGGATTCACTTCGGCATTCACCATCAACTGTATCAGCAATATCCACTACAAGTCGAACATTCACAGTAAGTAGAAGTTCAACCAATGATCTAATGAACACATTTGATTGCTTTTCTCTTCATAGAATTCTCGAACGTTTCTTTCCTCCACATCGGTACCACTTGAAACAGATACTATTAGTGTTCATGATGACGCACCCACAGATATTTGGGTAAGACTCTCATATGTAAACTCGAATCAGTGAGATGTATGAATATTATTATAGAAAAGAATTCATTTCTTGTACAGGTGAGACTCTTTCCTTGTAACCAACTGCTTTATTAAACAAATGCTTTTCATTACGTTTTGGATTGATCAATGCATCCCTATGCTTGATTTGACTTACATAAACAGGAACGTTCTCGTTATATCTTTAGATCAAGATATGATAGTCTTGCGATGATATTCACCCTATTTGCTAACTAAAACTCTTTCGAATCACTACTCAATACCATAGACTCCCGACATTTGATAGATTTTATACATAAATCTGCGTCGATGTGTTTACATTCGAAAAATTTTGATTGATCATACATTGGATGGTTCTTTCTATATAAAACTTTTTAGTTATCTGATTTCGAATCCAAACTATTGAACAATGCCGTCTACGACGAATTCGATTCTATTCCACTGGCGCGTATCAATAGTTCTATCCAAGATGGTCGGCTAGGTGAAAACACGCGTCGAAATCGTTATGCTGATGTCATTCCATATGATGATACTCGTGTACGATTAATTCCAACAAAAGAAAATCTTCACGGTTATATCAATGCTTCACATGTGAAGATTCGTGTCGAAAATACGATTTACTCGTATATAGCTGCTGAATCTCCTCTGCCATTGACAGTCTATGACTTTTGGCGCATGATATCTGGTAGTAATGTCCACGTTATTGTGATGTTAATTGGCAATGATCCTCAACTATGTGCAAATTATTTTCCTAAAAGTAAAAATGAAAAGTGTCGAACGGATGAGTTCGAAATTGAATTAATTTCGGAACAAAATCGTCAAGATTTCCATATTCGACATCTACGAATGAAACTTCTCAACGGACAACGTACACGAACCATTGTGCATCTACAATACACCGCATGGGATGAAGCACAAATACCACTTGATACTTCTTCATTCATAAGTAAAAGAAAAGATCGTCAGACAAAAGAGAAAGATTAAACATGACGTTTGTTTAGATTTTGTCAATGTTGCAAATAGTTTTCGAAGACATTATGGTGAAACGAATCCATGTTTAGTTCACTGTACTGCCGGGTAAGACAAATCATACTTGAAACATGTTACAAACTGATCGAAATCGATAATTTTCATCGTTGTAGTATCGGCCGTACTGGAATATTTATTCTTATGCACGTTATGATTCAATGTATAACTTTTAACAAAGTATGTTGTTCTATGCACGTGATCTCTCTCGGAATATTGACTTGCTTTTTAGAAAGTGAGCGTTGCAAGTGTTTTAAAAGTCATGCGTGAACATCGTATGTCGCTCGTCGATCGAACATATTCTTATGTGTTTGTCTATCGTTGTCTGATCGATTATTTGAAATCGTCACGACTCATCTAAGCAAAACATACCTCTATCTATACTCAATCATTTAAGCATTCCATATTTGTAATTAATCGAAAACTTATTCTTCTTTCAATGTTGAAAAATCAAAAAATCTTGTGTTTGTACTTACTTTTTTTTCTCTTTCTCTTCATTTGTGCTTGATCAATGCGTTCAATTGTGCTCTTCTTTCTTTTTTTATTGTATACTCATTCAATAAAACAAAAGCAATAATGAATAATCCAAATGAATGAATACGTATGTCAGCATTTCTTTCTTCAGATAAGACTATGGTTGGATTACCCAACGAATCATCGACATTCTGTTTTGATCGAGATGAACTCTCCAAGGTAGACATGTTTAGACGATGTAAGACTGGTTAAATCCTCTTTTTTGTTTTTGTTCTTAGGCCGACTTTAATGTGGATGCGTTTGTTGTCAAATATAAACGAGAAGTTGGATTAGAAAAGTTACGTGATGATTTGGATCTCTTTCTTCGCGTTCTCCAATCGAATATGGTCGATTTGATCAATCGAGACTTTGCCGATTTTTTGAATCTGTCAACCAATTTGGTATGAAGTGTTTCAGACAAGAATGTGATTGAAACGATTGATTTTTAGGTTGGCTTCGACAAAT